ATCAAGGCTATTCACACCGTGATTCTATAATGCAAAAACTGTTACAGTATTATGTCCAAAGTTCGGATTACTACCATCGATTGTACGAGCATTTTATTTGAACGGATTTACTAGATATCACCGAAAGCACAACAAATTTTATACAAATTTTAAATTTTACTCTGAAAAAGTGCGATTTTAATTATATTTATCTTCTGTTCGTTGCTCGTTGATATAATCACACAGAAACTACTTTATGTTTCTAAAGACAACTGAAAAATGAACGCTGAAAATTCTTATCAAATTTCATGCTGCCAGGGCTATAAAATACCTTTTTATCAACTTTTAAACAGTGAATTCTGATAATACGGATTGCGTTATAAGCATGACTTCTAATAGAAGAAAAAGCCACGAAATAGAAGAGAGAACTGCGAAAAAGAGCCGCGTAATATATATTAGAATTAAATTCAGAATCCTACGATTATCTCGGATCGACCCTGTTCGGTAACAGTTCAGGGCAGGACTTTGTCAGCCTCGTAATAAAAACTATAACCGTACAATGTAAATGGGAAGAAAAGCCAACGGACCTCGCGGCGTTTCCATACCCGAGAAAGGAAGCAGCTTTTTCTTCGTGGGATAGAAAAAGATTTTTGCATTATCATATTTCTCATACTTGTTATAACTTCTTAACGTTCCATTACATGGCATTTTAGTCTTATTTTTGCTTGTAAAATGCACTGTCAAAATATAAAGGATGAAAATTATCATCAACTGTAAAATAAACGAACCCGATTGATGCCGATATACCGAATAATGCTAGTCTACTTATAAACGACAATTAGAAACAGCTGGCGAAAAGGTCTGGGCTATTGTACAATCTATCGGGAGCGGATCTTGTTATTCTTTCACATTTCACGAAACAATCGACCGATCGCGACTTACCAGATTGTGATGCGATCCAAATATGCAACGACCTTTCGATCGTTCTTTCACATTCTTCGATGTAATTAGTTTCTCACGATAAACCACATAGGTACATCGAGGCTTTCGTTCGGTTCAATGTTCTATTTGACCGAAACGTGAATAGAAATCTTTATTTTATAGCGATGCAAAACACTACCGATATAAGTAAATCGGTAATACGGTCCAGTTTCGCATCGATTCTTTCGACTGAATTTCTGGCCCGGTTAACACGATATACGCACAAGTTGTTGCACTTGTATCTAACTTCCGGGATGAAATTTCCTCTCTAATTTCAGGAAGAATGCACCTCGCGCACTGTCCTCGAGAGGATCTACGTGATTATTCCTTCGGCCGCCGCATCCAACTTGCCAGCATAGTTTCCTCTCTCTTTGTTCTCTTTTCGCCCCTGTTTTCCGCAACCGCATCCACCTGCGCCGTTAGTCTTCCATTAACAGTCATTAACATGCTGTGTGCAGTTTTAACTGGAACATCGATCCTGACACGACTCCGAACTCGCATTATCTTGGTATTCCTAAACGAGGGAACGACTGAAAATGGTCGATGGGGCTTCAAATTTAACATCCACCCCACCCCCTGCAAATATTCTTAGATTTTTAATTTTTGTAACGCCGCGCAATGGTTCCTCAATATCGGTGATCTAGCGTAACAAAACTTATTTTTCCATATTTCTAAACCAATACACGATGTCGAGTATCTGGAATACTATTTAGTAACAGGATGTGAACACACTTTATCTTTTCTCTTACGACACTTTTTATATCTCTAACCGTTTCAGAGATATAGCTTATCCCAGTTGCGTGGGACAGCCTGTATACTAAACCAGAAACAGATTAATTCCCGGGCATACGATCAATCGGGCATGACTCCTCCAAAATCCTCGCGTGTGGCTCTCATTACAGGTTTCCTGGTTTAACGACACGGTCGGTTATAATAGCTGCAAACTTGTTTATCGCCTGTATGTGTACGGCAGAAGCTGATGAAATTAACGTTGGGAACTAACGTTTTGGTAATACAAGCATCAGTTTCTCCCTGTCGATCAACGGAGAAACCGATACGATGCGATTATAAATTAATAACGCGGCTTAATTCCAGTTTCAATCGACTAATAACAATTGTCGACCAAACTAAAGTCGACGATTTAAAATTAATAGCAGTTTCGATATTAAACGAAGTGCCAACGAAACTTAATCTTATTTACAGAATTGTGTACTTATTAACCACTTGTTTAAATTTGTTCGCACGTGCAATGCTCACAAAAAACAACAGATTTACTTTACACATACTTCACGAACGTGCAAACGTGTTAATTGATGTGAATATAATCTGAAAAATGGTTAATTTATAGTATCACTGTATATGTGCCTAAGGAATTTACTAGACTAAGTGGTGTATAATTTTTGTTGGTTTTGGCTATTATAGTATTTATGAGTTTGAACTGCGTTTATTTACGTGATACTACGTGCATCATTGATGCTGCGTTTAGTTCAAGGAATGACGTTTGCACGCTGAAATTTCTCCACCACTATTTAAACGATCAACCCTTCCAAATTCGATGATCCCACCTATTCAACGTTCGAATGTTAAACATGCTTGATAAGAGGAAACGTACAATCGAACAACACAGGCCTGTACGATATCAATTGTACAGACTGCAGTAAATTGTATGATCCTAAACCATCCCATCGATTGATCGTTGCCAGTGAACGCAACGACCTGTCGCGTAGATACGCATTATCAAAAATATCTGCAACAGCCAACATGTAAAACGGACAAAAATCCGAAACGCGTGAAAATGTTCTATTGTCTCGCAAAGTTATCGATTGTTCTTTTTCCCCGTAAATTCGATACAATGTAACGTTTTAGAGATAGCAAAAAAAGTTCAAATTCCGTGCCTCTCGATAAAGGACAGAATCGTTAAAATTACGCGAAGCTTTTTGATTACAACGTGAAAGAATTCGATTCGAATTTGAAAAAGAATCGATTTAGTATTTGTTTTAAAATACGTGAAAATGGTCGTAATAAACACGAATAGATGGGTTTACGAGAGACCTTATTTGTCAACCATCTCAACCGTCTCAAAAATTCTAAATCATATCGCAATTATAGCTTATTATTACATGTCGCTGGATTTTTCTTATTTTCTAAACACATAATTACATAACGTAATAAAAGCCTGAAGACTCGTTACTTTAATCTTAAATGTTACCAATATGCGGGTGGAATATGTACCTAAATATGTAAATACCGATCAAGTTCCTGTTTTAAACGTTCGGATATCGCTTGAGAACCGACTGGTTATAAGTTTCTGAAGGTTCCCATATCATTCTTAACCCATCGTTATGCATGGCACGCTGTTAAGCCCGATGGCTGCGTTCACATGTTCAAACGAATAATTAGACGACGTTGCATCACGTGTAAATGCAATAATCTTGCGCATTGGTCAGTTTTCCATTTACGGGGAGCTCGAGGAAATAATTGCTGCTTTTGCTTCATTGTGCAACGCGATCGGTACGCGTTTTGCGTTCGAACGCAGAAACCTTTGTCTTCCCGCGTGCCACAACCGGTAGGTATACTTTTCTTCTCGGAACACTATTAACCTACTCCTCTATTCCACACACTCCGGTATACGTGAACTTTTTCTTAGTTGTAATAAAACACGCGATACAAATACACGAATTCACAAATACACGTAAAAACCAGTTCACCGCTAATTATACGAACCAGAATTGAACAGTATAAAATAACATTAAGTGAATTTTCGCCTAGATTCTAAACAGTTGTACGAATAAAACAGGTTTGCTACTGTGCACTAAAAGGTAGTTAAAAGGTAACTATTTTAATAGAAATTAAAATACAAGGAAACTGCAGACGTTAAAAAATCGCAATAGGTGTATACAGAACAATAAATAAATTGTGAAAATAGTAACAACAGAATTATATTTTTATAATTGCCTTTAAAATAATTCCGCTTTCCGGTTCTTATCTGTTAGAGTGAGGATAGCAATAAAAATGGAAGAAAGTGGATAACCACAATTCTTCGACTTGAATATTTATTCCTAAAAAAGAGATGTACACATACAGGGCAAAATTCAAAGCGATGATAATTTTAATTACTGGTGTTTATATTTGGACTGGAGCTACAGAACGCACGACTATTTTAATACATATTATTTTAATTAAACACTTTCCCTGTATTCCTCGATCGCTGGAAAATGGAATTCGCATTAAAGCACGCCGATTGTTAATATTTGTCTCGAACCTGTTCACGAAACACTCGTGTGTTTACATAAATGGTTTGTTGGGAGTGAACGTTGTCGCGCGCGTGCAGGTTAGAAAACACCGTCGACAGAAAACAATTTATCAACGTTTAAGAAAGAAGATTAGCTCGCTTTAACCGATAACACAGACGTGTGCACGTCTCTGTTCAAGGAAAAGTAATTCAACTCGGTTTTAATACGATCTCTCACTGTCCACGTATAAATCCCACCTGGATTAACATCGTGACTATCCGTTCGGTGATAGAAGTCAAATATTTATCCGTAATCGACACTTTGCCGGGACAAAGGGAAAACCTCATAACTCAGACGGTAATTTCGAATTATGTGCATATACGCGAAAAGACGCACTGACCAGCGAGTTGAAAAGTTTAAGAACCAGGCGTCCTTGTGCTAAAAATATTAGCTAAAATTCATACCGGCATCGATACCGTGTTTTTATTAAGTCGGTGAAAGCGATTCGAAAAGAAAAAGTTGCCAAGATATTCGAGATGCCCGAAGAAGCAGCAGTTGCTAACAGTTGTGAAACACGTTGCATCTTTGTGGGAAGTAGTCGCACGGGACGCGATCGATTTTTCAGGAAACGAGTCGCAATTCCTTTTGCGACGCAAAATGCTTTGTATTTTGAGCACCATGAAACGTTAACGATCCTTCCATGGAACGATTACGCAGAAACGAGCGAGATATTTCAAAACTAAATAAACCGGTTCTTGATCTCAAAATCCACAAGAAGAAAATTTGTAACAACGATATTTTACTTACTTATTTTCTTATCCTTCCATCCACGAGAAAGGGCCCGAGAGCGCTGCATGATGCATAAAGCGGCGTTTCGTCACGATCGAGCAATTACTTTTTCCACTAGTCCAAGATAATAATCTTACAACGTCTCGTTGGCGAAATCGTAAAACCGTCGCATTTTCGAGCACGCTGTTATCGTGTTTCACCGTTCGCAGAACTGGCAAATAAACATCACACCACCACAAGTAACAATCGAACCAACTACCCGTCAGTGCATCGTGAATCCTTATTCGCGTCGAGGAGCAGGTCTCATTATGTCATTATTACCATTTCCGAGAAATTGCTCTTCCAGAGTTCCTGCCCGTGCGATTTTTACCGTACCCACATGACTAACAGGTTGACCGTGAACGCCAACCGAAACTTTTGTCGATACACACTATACTATACTACACTGAACGCTACTCGACTGCTCTCTTTTAGTGTGTAACGGAACAATTAATGGTACCGGGACAGGATAATATAGGGAAAACGGTGGCAACGTATTTCCAGGACTTGTTGCTGCGCGTCACGCATCTTTATCGCTTAAGAAGGGGTTCAAAGAAATCCTGCCTCTCACTGTCCGTCGTTGCATCGCCGAGATGTTGCTCTGAAGAAACATAGTCCTCGTGAATCAAAGGAAAGAGAATATTAGACGGATTTGCTTATGCACGCGATCCTACTTCCTAAGTATTCCCGCGCAAACATGCTTCGATGCCTAGTGTTTTTTCGATCCTTTTCCACACGATCAATGTTGGATTATTTTCGAAAGATTCGTCGTTGGGTATTTCAAAAAGGAATGGATATGGCTAAGAATCGTGAACAAAAAGATCGCGACACATGAACCACGACGCTGCTCCGGCGACGTCTCGCGTTCGACTGCGAGGCCGTTTGCCGAGTCCGAAGACCGATTTAAAGCTCCATAGGCTGTAGAGCAGTACCTCGAGCAGAAACGATTTTCCTCTCTGTTTTCTTTATAATTGGAGCTGAAATCGAAATCATACTTTAAACTATGGGTAAAAGCTGACAGGTAATTAACTTTGTACGCGACGACACGACGAAGCTGGTTAAATTTTATAGAAAATTAAATTCGAAGAAAATATCAGAAATTGCGTCTAAGGCAATTTTAGAGTTTTGCTATGAATATTTGAAATAAACTAATATATTATGTGGAATAACATTTAAAGGATTATTGTCCTATGGTACCTAAAAAAATCGATTTTTTTGTTTTTATTTCATTTTTCAACAAATACAGAGATAACTGTAACTTTATAGATTAAAAAGCTTTTTGATTTTTTCGTTTTGACTCTCTTTGAGAGCATCAAGCATCTACGCTAGCTAGTTGCAATTAATTTGTATTTATTGTAACCAAAATTACAATGAGGAAGAATTCATCATCATTTTGTATACTTTTTAAATAGCTAAATAAATGTAAAATATGTATGATAACGTTAGATGTAATACTTAATTTAAAAATTATAAAAATTGTTGAATTTTTCGAAAATTACGCAGGAACGACCCGACCCCTTAAAGGAACGTTATTTCGAAAGTGCCCCAGCTTTGCGGTACAGTTCGAGACAAAAAGAAATACCGGTCGCACGGTGCGTCAGAAACCATCGATAGGATCTACTACACAGCGGATAATTTTTGAGACTGAAGAACCTCGGCGTCACGATTGGTCGGAACAACCCTCAGGTAGCGTGGAACGGAGATGAATAGCAGAATCGATAAATTCCGCTTTCGTTCGGCCGGATCTGCAGTACCGGCACGGAAAACGTTTTAAGATCCGTTAGAACTCTCCAAGTATCTGGCCTCTAAGTGCTTCTATCTCGGAAGCAGAGATTATATCCTGCCGTGTTCGGTAATCGATGATTCAGTACAACGGCAATTATTTTAAACGTTATTTATTTTACTTCTTATCTTGAATGATCGGTCGTCCTTCGAGCGAACTAACGATCCAAATGATACATAATATAACGATGTATTTACGGAGAATCATTGAGGGCGACTTTATCTGAGGAAAACGATTACATATTTCGATACACTATCTCATTTTCTATCAAACAATTTCAATGCTTCTATCTAGAAACCGAGATTAATAACGAACTCACATTTTTAATTGTGATGTCCACTCAAAATTCATAGTCGTACGATTTTTTAATCTGGCTAAATCGAAGAAGCATTCCAAAATTTTTACTTTATTTCTATTTAATTCGGCTAGTTAAAGATAAAAAAAGATATACGTATAATTTTCGGGTGATGGTTTAATTAGTCCCGTGATAATCCCTATTCACTCCGTCTCCGTTTTTATCATCGTTTCTGGTGAAAAAAGCACATATGTGTATACCTGTAACGTCTCTTGTGTTCCCCCGGTTCAAAGGCCTGTCCCCTTCGTCTGTCTATTGTTCATTATCTCTGTCTACTTCGCATAGGGGGCGATCTTATATATTTTCGAGGGATTCAGAACTATAATGGCGTGAAAACAAAGAACGTTGCTGCCGTCCGGAACACCTGGCTGGAACGTCTTTGCTCTTTAAAAGGCATTCGCGCGCTACTCGGAATTTACCTAAGGCGGTGAGAATTTCGGTATATAGAATGGTGGATACTGAGTGTATTGGAAGTGCCAGGAAATTTCATAAATTAATAATGGAAACACGTTTCGCCTTAAGAAAATAACAACTCCCGGAAATATTTCTTTTTCTCTGTACGAACTGACACCTCAAAGTAACATGGCCGTTTTCTTTATCTACATACTGTCGCAAAATAATATTCCTTCCTACAGTATCATTTTACTCAGTGTCTTTCCCAAATATTTGTCGTCCAGAAGTATAAAAATCTCTTTGTGTAATTGTTTTCCAAAGACGAATTAATTGGGACTACGAATTATGACCTATACGAGTACTTGTCGAAACGCAATCGCGAAAGACAATCTCCCTTTAAGGAATATATGAAATCGACTTCAAAATTATTTGGATTTATTCGTTTCAACTATATCTAATGTACAGCAAAGTCCTCTTTCAATATTCATATTGATTATACCTTAGGAATTATTAACTGAAAGAATGTAGACTTGAACAAAATTTTCCTATTAAATATACTATTGTACTTTTAAAATGTGCAAGTAGGGGTATAGTTGAAAAAAAATACATAATAAACTTTTCTAAGAATGTTTGAACAGTGTATTAATTTAATATTGTAATTATATCTGTTATGAGCCAGAGTTCTCGTAATTAATAAACATGCTTCGTCTCTTCCACAAACTATGATCATGTAGGAATATGTTATTGGAATGGTTTTATTACAAACCAATGTGCATTAAAAAACTTATTATGGATAAACTGAACTCGAGTTTATTATATTACTTATAATCATATATTTACATACTACAATGATATCCTATATTGTGAAATAAATGTATGTATTTATTTATCAGGAATGTTCTCCAAACCCTATAAAAATGAAACCGTATTAAGTAAATTTTTTAATAAGCAACCAATAGTTTTAAATAATACAATATCGCATAATAATATAAATTTTTAGAATCATTAGATGATATAAATCTAGGTAAATGCTTACTGCTTTCTTATAAACTGAGCCAGTTAATGCATCGTCTCTCTCGAACATTGTATAATCCCAATGTGTACTAAGCTTTCTACGGAATGGCTGTAACAATATAATGCAATTAAATTAAATATAGAAACGTAAATAATAAAGAAAAAAATTATAATATATGACAATGCTGTAATAACTGAAATGGTATATTTGAATAATTGATCAATCGTCACTTTACGTTTATTCACCAGTGTTGTATAAAAAGAAGAAAATTTAATGATACATAAAGTCTTTGTTTTATGGCACAGGCTCTACATATTCTTATTACGTAATCGTATAGGTTAGATTAGAAAAACAACATACGCATCCAAATAACAGATCATTTACGTGGTATGGAACTACTTGTGGTACCATGATCGCAACACCTAGTATAGCAATTACTGGTAATATCTCATACCACATTTTGAACAAATCTTTTTAGTGTTAATACATCCAAGTCGTACTCCGTTGGAAAATGTCTGCGTAACCAATCTGATCTATACATTATACCACAGTGCTTCTCAACCTATGAATCATGACAGTAAGGTAGATGGTGCCTTATGGTACCTTGTGTACATACTGGATCGTTGAGCGGCACACCATTTATCGATTAGATTGTCACTAAAAGAAATTATTGAAAATGAAAATTGAATTTAAATTTTTTGTTATATTTCATTTTTTTCAATTTAATGTATGTTTATAGAGTTATCAATTTATAAAATTGGACATTCTCCTTAAGAATGGCACTAGATATAGGTACCGTACTAATTGTAAATATATGTATATACAATGTATATAGAAGTTTCAATCGCACATGTGTTTATAAATGTCATCATAGAACATCACGTCTTACATTATTAGTATTATTTTTTGTTTACGTTTAAGCAAATCAAAATTGTTTAAAAATAGTAGAGATGTAAATTATAAAAGAATGTAAGATCTTCGTTTATCGTTCAAGTATCGTTTTGTGCATTGATAGAAAAATATAGAAGGAATCACAAATATCTATTAAATTATTTTGATATAAAAAATAATTCGGATAAGTTTATGAAAGTATTTTTTCGCTAGTTTCAAATTAAAAGTTTCAATTTTTGCGTATAGTTAAATATGTTCCCGATGATCAATGTCTACCAATTAATGATATACAATCAAATTCAATATTGTCTTGTTAACATTTTCTCAGGGGGTTGTACGTACAGAAACAATACAATAAACCGCAAACAAAGGTTTTAATAAAGCGTGCTCGAGTGTGTGAAATATATCATAAAATTCGATATTTTACATTTATCGTAAAATTTATAATAACGCTTGTTTGTGTTGTTACGAAACGTCGGACTGGTCGATGCAAATTTTGGATAGCTCCCTCCGCAATGTACGATACGTTATCATAAAGTTCACGACGATACATGACACAAGGTATACATGTTTCGATTAAATAAAAGCCTTTTTCACGCGATTAACTGATTCAAATTATCCCATGACGCGATTGGGTTTACATTTTGATCTCATTACTTCATTCAGAAAAATGGTAAGTGGACGATGAAAATTTATTTAACAGAAAAAAAGATTTTTAGTAATTATACATTTTTTAAGCCAATTTTCGATCAGATCTATGCTTAAATTAAACATTAGATTCCCTTTGATTTTAGTGAAACATTCGTATAAAAAATGAAATTTATTTTAATTCACGTAATTATTAAGTAAGTTTATTATTTATTACTTTTGTGTTATTGCTATCATTATTTTTTTTTTATTGTATTCTATTTTAGATTAATGTAATAGCTTGAAAGCAAATGTAAAATTATGTTTTAGGAGAGTCTAAGGAGAAGCTTCAAACCACCAAAGATGCTAATAAAACTGTATTCTCTTTTCATTCTGATACTGGATCTTGCAACACTTTTAATTGGGATTTTCTTTGCTATTTTAATTGCAGTGTACAGAACATTTAGACCTCCACCTTTGAAAAGTCTTCATGGGGAAGTTGCAATGGTAACATAGTCATTGTATTTAATTTAAAAATAATTTGTTTTATTCATTATATATCCTCTTTTTTATTCAGATTGTTGGTGCAGGACGTGGAATAGGAAGAGAATTAGCGATTCATTTGTGTCAGTTGGGTGTTAGTGTTGCTTGTGTAGACATTAATGTTGAAAATTGTAATACTACTGTGCTAAGTGCCTCACAGGGAATAGGGATAGCTAAACCATATATTTGCAATGTAACTATTAAGAACGAAGTAAGTATTATTGAATATAAAATTGATATTCATTGTGTAAAAGTCATATATTAATTAAATTGTAAATCAATTATAATAGGTAGCTCATACAGTGAATATTATTCAATCTCAATTAGGCAAAATTACAATGCTTTTTCATTGCTGCAGTATACCTAGCCCTAGAGCCTTAATACAAGATCGACCGGAAATAAGACATACAATTGACTTATCTGTTATTAGTCACTTCTGGGTAAAGATTTAATGCACTGCAGAGATAGGCAAAATTTTATTAGTTTCTTGTGAGATGAGTAACAAATAAATATTTCTTTATCTTTTATTCCTTATTTGAAACTTTTCATCGAGATAAGAATTTTCTCCATCTCTGGTGCATGATATATACTTATATATATTATATAGTATTATTAGCATTATAAATGTAAACAATAACTTGTGTTTTTAGTTATTGGAAACAGTTTTACCTTGTATGGAACAAACTGGTAAAGGACACATAGTGGTCTTGTCTTCTGTTGCTGGCTTATCGGGTGGTGCCACTGGAGGCAGTAGAGTTCCTTTGTCCACCGCACAGTTTGCAGTTCAAGGATTAGCAGAATCACTGCATACAGAATTAAGACATTCTAATAGTAACATTATAATTACTTTAGTTCATGTTTATCCGTTTATCGTAGGCGCAGAAGCTGCTAAAGATATTCGTTTTAGGTAAGGAATGAAACAAACAATGTCATATTGTTACGAATACTTATCATTTTACGTTTTCTACAGAATACCAAGTTATTTCGGCACAATGCCCGCCGCGGAAGCGGCTAAGCAAATTTTAGACGGCGTACGGCGAAATTACGCGGAATTTAGTGTACCTGGTTATTTACTTTATCTGGGACACGTTCTTAGGTAAGTTTACCATTAATATCGCCAACTACGTAAAGAGTTTAAAAGAACCAACTTATGTGTAAATAATATATTTTATATTTCCAGAATACTTCCAAAGAAAGCATCGTTTATGTTACGCGACTTACTAGACACAGGAGTTGACTTTGGATGATATTTTGTTTTTCTAATCAAATATGAACATCCGCTTTCCTTATATAACTATAATACATATTATGGGAAAATGTACAAGAGGAGTTTCAAATTTATATAACAGAATATTTTATTTACCTTTTCTACATTGTTCGATCATTGAAATGTCACCTGTTAAACATCTCCCTTTTGTAACTCTTGTTTCATAGTATTGATATCAAATATACTACGTATTTAGGTAGATAATAAAAATAATACGTGATATGTAACAGATGCGCTAAGTAATTACGAATAATCTGTAGAATGATTTGTTAATTAATACAAGAAATAAAGATACACGCACATACGCACACACACGCAAACACATATCATATAAAATATGATAAATACATTTATGGCATTTAACATTTAAATGTAAGTCAACAACTATGAGAATACTTACTTTTTGAGAATCATGACATCTGTAAGATCAAACATACATCAAGTTGAACATTTATCAAACAACACGTATCTATACAGCGTAAATCATATATATTTTGTGAAACAAATAGAAAACATTATCACATTTCACACTGAAAAAATGGTCTATATACATGGTGTTGTAAATGATTTAACGTGGCAAAATATCTATTTTAGGTGTTTGATAAAAGATTCTTTAGATTCGATTACCAAGACTGTGTACAAACTTGTAACTATGTATCGACATTTAGATTTTTTACCAGCAATTTTGTTGCAAACTTCACGAAGAATGCCGAGTATTAATAAATATATTTTTGTATAAACATAGATATTCAATTAACAATGATAATCGTGTTTGATCCCTTTTAAAATAAAATAAGCATTTGCATTGAAATGAATCGTTTCTCATAGAGTTATGAATGTCTTGATATGTAATTAAGAATATACTATATCATGAAAATAATGTACTTATATATATATATGTATTTAAATGTAAGCAAACTATTATTTACAAAACCAGAATTAAAATGGGATTTGTCAAAATTATAAAACAAATTGAATTTACGGCAAAATTCTGAATACGAAATATTTACATGCTGCATGTGACGATGAATACGTGGATCTAACGTTTCAGATCGTTATGAAATATGAGAAAAAAATAATTCATGATTTACAATGTGAATTCGTTAAAGTTGGGACAATCTGTAGATGATGATTCAAATCCCAACACTGGAATGAGTTTATGCTAATCTAAACCAGGGGGGGCTGGTTCTGAAACATCAGTTTCCATTGTATCTGGTTTTTGTTCGATCGTATAATCACCGGGTGGTGCCTGCAAGAAATTGAAGGAAAAGCTGTTTGGATCAGTTCATATATTTATTTTTTTTTTTTTTGTTTGTTTTTCTTTTATGATAGTATAAAAATCGACTCTTTATATACAAGTATTTTTACTCACAATATCAAATTCATCATGCATGTCGCAAGGCGATTTACCCTGTATAACATCCATTATCGATTGTGGAATGTGCGCTTTCTGAAACGTAACAATCATATTTTTTTTTACTCTTTACTCGTTAACAAAGCAATACAATTGTTAATACATTGTAATAATGATACTCACCTGATTTTCAGCAAAAGCTTCGACGTGCGCTAGTAAAGGAGCACGTAAATTGGAGGCCATCCTTAACGCCTCGGCCAATTGTGTCGGAGGAAGTTGCAAAATGACCGCAAAGCTCTGCGGTTGCGTGCGCTCGCAACATTTTACAAAACCCTCCCAGACTTTTGGTTGCTTCCAAACTTGTTTCAGAATTAATCGTTGAAGTATGTTCATAACGAATCCGCTTAACCTTGGATACAAAGCTAGACTTTGTATTACTGTACGCATTAATAATGTAGGAAGCGGTGTCATTTCCATGAGGTGTTGCATTACAACGGCTACGGTTTCTTGCGTGTACACTTGTTTTTCAGCGAAACACAGAGACGTAGCTGCAAATCGATATTATTGCATGACCATAGAGTAAGAAAGAAAATGATTTAAAACAGGAAGAACAAAAATTAAATATCTCCCAACCTTTTATAATCGTTTTTAATTCGGCTTTACTTGGATCTATATTATGCAAGGCTATTAAAAGTTCAGCAGGCGTGATTGGAGAAGTGTGAGGTACACCGCTTTCGTTATTATGGGTACCCAGTAATCTATTGAACACCTGTGGAAGAATCATTGAAATACAATACTCACTTTTTTTTAGATTTGGATAAACCTTCTTACGGACACATTTACCTCTTTAACAACAATAGGATTTAATTTGATAAGTTTCGGAAGGGCAGCTATAACTTCTTTCTTCGTTAGGCCATTCAGAACTGGTATCAAAAATCGAACATCGGAAACTCTTGTCTGATAAAGTTCTCTTACTCTTGCTACTAATTCTGAGCTGGGCGCAGCTAAATACGGAACAATGTATTAAACATAAAACACCGTGAAAATATAGAGATTTGAATTGCAGGCTTACATACATTTCTCTGTAAGAATATGAATAATTCTTGTAACCAGCGTTTCTGCGCCTTTCGGGCAATTTTCAACAAGAGCTAACAGCTGTGGACTGCCCATTCCTAAAGACCTTACTGGTCCTTCTACTAATCTAAGAACCATACGTTTTACATCCGCGCTCATTGATGTATAAACTCTTGCCAATCTATAAGGATAATATCGATAAGAATTTACGTTTATTTTTTCAATACGTTCGCTAAGTAAGTAACTTACTCATGGATTAAATCCTGGTGCTCGCTCAGAAGAGCGAGGTACAACCCGAGACAAGCTCTTGTAGTCGATTCCGTCCACTGGATTTCTACTTGCGGTCTACCCCGGTCTTGTCCAAAAACGATTTCGGGTGGAGTGTGAAGTCGTAAGAAACCTAAATAAAGAACCGCGTACTCTTCTATGAGTTTACTTAATTCAGGACGACTATATAGCTGACAAACTAATTGTATAGCAGCTTCCCTTATCTATTCGTAGACAAACAAGATTAGAACGTTAATACAAAAGTGTTTAAAACACTTTGATAACACGTGCTTTACAATATTTCATGCATCGTATAGCGTTATAGCTTACAGTGCTGTTCTCATGACCAGTATGACATAATAGCACATTCAGGAATACTAGTTGTTTTGTTGGTCTGCGAATGACCATGTCTTTTAATAATTGTAACGGTGTCAGTCCTCTTGTTTCATCGGAAGACATCATTTTTAAAGCCTCAACAGCATCTTCGGTAATTAAAGGAGCCTCCAAGTATAATCTGTTCCCAAATAAGTACACGGTTAATATTATTTGTCTTATTGTTGAATATTCTATTAACTCTGTTACCTATTTAACAGCGTGTCACGATCTTTGCCTTGAACCAGATTTATTGCCGATACTAAGGTACACAACAGAAAGTTGTAAGCCTGATGTGGAGCTTCTTGAGGCTTTGTACACAATGTAGTTCGTCTTTGGAAACCCTGAAGTAACGCATATTCTTCGTACAACCAACCTAAAGCTAAGTCCAAACGATTTCTCATATCATCGGTAATATACCGTATTACTGCTTCTTTAATATACGGATTGAACGTTGCGGCTAGAGTTGTTAAAATTTTTGATCTGAATCGAAATAATGAGAAATGAATAATGAGAATTCAGGTAGAAATACATAATATTATTTAAGAGATAACGATTACATAAATTTGTATACCTGATAGCTGCCACGCCACCGAACACGGCTATCTTTTCGGAAAGTAGAATTCTATTAACAGCCATCAGCAACATTTTTTCTTTTATTTCCTTCGACAATGGTTTTGTAACTTCAGACAATTTCAAAGCTTTTAGACGATTTCTCGCTTTTGCAAGTGATTTTTCGTGCGCTTCCAAAGATGCCTTTGCCTCTTTTTCTTTCTCTCTGTCTTTTTCACGTTTTCGTTCCCGTTTCGCTTCGGCCACGCTAATGGTCGGATTTTTGACTAAATCCTCCATTACAGCGTCTTCGTCTTTAGCGTCTTTTTTCTTTTTCGCTTTGGCTTGTTTTATTTGTGCAGATAGCAATTTAGCAATCGTTTGACGTTGACTATTAATATCGGTCGTTGAAGTAGGCTGATATTCTCTTTGGAAAATTGTGGTCATTGTGTCTGGGACCCATGCCTGTGAATGAAATCCAAGTTTCAAAAAATTAAAAAATAGTTGCTTCTATGATAGTTGTATAAAATATATTATATACCATGCTATCCATTACTAAATCTGTAGCAATCTCTACGCTTAATCTTTCTGCAATAAAGTTCTCTGAAAGTTCCAGTAGTTCAGGTAATTTTGGGGCAGGTACTGGACTGGGTACAATTTCTGGTTCATCTGGTATTAAAGTAGTGTCGATTTTAAGGCGTTTTGCAGCTGAAACCGCAGCTGCTTCCTAAAAATTATATGAATTAATTTATGAATAAAGTCTCGTTTATTGACTTCGTAACTTACTTGTTGGCGTTTCTTCATACGTCGAATATCTTCTGGTTTTGGATAAGCCTTAATTATTTCTTGTTCTTTAGCCCCAAGTTGTGTTAATTGTTTAGCTATCGTGGACGCGAATTCTATACTCGCTGGATGCTTCATCAATCCTAACAGAGTTAATTTCAGTTGCTTTTGCACACTAGTTACTTGAGAATCCGATAACGTTGGTGGTAAATCGTGTTGTAGCCTTTGCAAAGCTGTAATTTGACATCTTTTAGTTACAAACCGAATATAAACACACTGTCCCCAAAAATGTTACCTTGTATTACGCCTGACATGAATTGAGGTCTTGTTTTGGCAATCAATGCCAGAGATCCCATGCATGTCATTAAATTCACGCTGCTCACATGCGGAGATCCATGAAATTTAATTAATAAATCCATTACGTCATTAGCTTCTTCTTCTAATTTTCGTCTACGAGCTATTTTTAAAGTCAATGGGATATCTTCTAAAGAAAAATCATCTGGTTTTTTTGGTGAATCTGGATCTGGGTATGTTTGTATTAAAACAACACCCTCGAGGAACTTTACAGCTTGTGTCCTAATTCTAAAATATAAAAATGTCTAGTAACTTAAAGTTGACTGATGCAATAAAAAAATAATTCTGATAATCTTTTTACCCATCATTATCACTATCGATCATATTTATGATCTGAATCTTTAAAGCGCTAAGTTGGGTCCACGCTACTTCCATTTCTGGAGTAACTGTAATGGCACTGGATATCCATTTCAATGCTGCTCTCAATATTCTGCCACTAGCTCTGAGAGCTCGTTTAGCAACAGCTGATGATTCGTCAGAAACTAATCTTAAAAGTATCTGAACCACACGTGGAATAATTTCTGGCTGTTTTATTCTACAAATATAATATACCAATAACAAAAGAATAATTACAATGTATTGTATAATATATTCTATAATCATAATTACCCAGCTTCTTCTATAAAACCTGTAACCGTTTTCCTAACTTCTGCATTTCTGTCTACAGAGAATTGCAGTGCTTCGTCCAAATATAATGGAAGCAATTGTGGTTCTTTATTAATTAAGATTTCTTGAACTTTACATAAATTTGTGACTTTTATATCTCCTTCTGGATTCAAGGAAGCTTCGTTCAACCATTCAACTATCTGTAAGATTTAATAGTATGCCAGTTTTCTTATTTTTTAAAAATTTCTATAGTAAAAATAATATATTTTTATAATTAAGAATTTTATAAATTCTATCACATCAAATACTTTTTTTACAAATTAGTCATAAGTATTCGAACAATAATTATCATAGTTTCGCGAAATGTATACGTATTTCTACATGTTACACATGCTCTGTTTGTAATCAAATGTATTTCAAAATTGTTGAGGTTATGGCACTGACCAAATCACCCGGTCCCTTTTCCAGCTCTGTTCTTCTATGTAATCGGGGGTCCATATTATAATTTTTAATATTCAAGCAAAAATTAAACTTTAATATAGATTATTGTGGAAAAAAGCTGTCGAACAGTTATACTCTGAAATTTCGATATACTGTAATTGGCTATGATTCAGTCAACGCGTATTCATCGCATAATTTAATGTTTGCTTAAGAGGCACATAATTTTTCTTATAATTAAGGTAAAAGTTTGTTTCTGTTTGATCTGTGTAAATATTTTAAGTTAATGAACAATAAAATCTATCTTAACATTCAAGGAAATCGCTTGCGTCGCCATCTTGGCATTTTTACTATCCCTGAGCGCTATAGTTTGATGTTAAAGAAGCGGGAAGTTTAACACCATATATATAACATATATATGTATAGTATACACAATGAATGTATTAAGCATTTTCAGTTTCCTACATTGATAATAAACCAAATTATTAGGTTATGTTTTCAATATAAAACGCCTTTTACGAAATACTAATAACTATAAATTAAAAAAAAAATAAATCTGTATTAGATTTTTTCGTAAGTTTTGTTTTCGAATATAAAGAGATCCGTCAATGTTCGTATTACGAAAATGAATTTTTAGATGAACGTTCATGTACTATGATTAAGTTGTTATTCTACTTTTAATAAGTATTGATAACGTTAATTTTGCCACAAAAACTACTGTTGGCTTAAAAGTTATCGATGTATCTCTATTCAGAGTGTTAAAGGTCGGGTAGACCTGATTGGAATGCTTAATCTGACAGATAACATGGATTAAGTTGACCAAGTGGAACGAAAGTATAACCATGCATTATCAAAGCATGAAATTTATTTTACGCGTATGATGATCGATCAGAATTCAGTCATTTGTCGTGAAGTAAGGGAAAACGTAATGCGACTAGTGTGCTTAGACAGCAAATAATATGATTTCAAGTTTTTGTAAAAAAATTATTGGTACATCTACTACACAAGAGCAAAACCAGGAGAAAATTCTTTGTGTCGGATTGACTTGTTTGGACATCGTGCAAACCTGTAAACAATACCCCGCGGAAGATTCTGATCAAAGGTGAGAGTTTCTTTTGTTTGCGATTGCGCAATATCACGTTTCGTTTATAGTGTATGTGATCAGTTTATGTTACATGAAAACATAAACAATGTGTTTACTGTCATTTGGCAAATAAAATGTCATTTCATCATGTAGGTTATTTTCCATCGACGTGATTGATTTCGAAATCATTGATATTCTCGATCTATGCGATAAATGCGAAAATACTTCTAAAAGAACATTATATTAGAATTTACCAAACTGAAATAAATCGAATATTTATCGAAATTTGTAAATGTTTCATTTAATCTTTATTTCTTTACTTTATAGATCTGTGGAATACAGATGGCAAAGAGGAGGCAATGCATCCAACACTTGCACAGTCCTTTCACTATTGGGAAGTCCGTGCGAGTTCCTTGGTACCTTGAGTGCAGAAGAACACCTAAACTTTTTACAAAATGATATGAGGAAATATAACATTGGTTTTTCTCACTGTCCTATGGTAGAAGGCATCGGATGTCCTACATCTACAATTGTTTTGAGTCTAAGTTCTGGTTCGCGTACAATTTTACATCATAATCCGTGTCTGCCAGAATTAACATTAAAGGATTTTGAACAGCTGCGTCTACAGGATTACAGCTGGATTCATTTTGAGGGCAGAAACTTGGTCGAAGTGTTACCTATGATGCAGTATGTGGAAAACTACAATAACACATTGAATTATAGCCAAGATGTTAGTAACAAAGAGACAGATTGGAGCCAGATACCGATTACAGTTAGCATGGAATTAGAACGTCCTAAACAAGAATTGTTAGATCTACTACCATACGTTGATGTAGCATTTATATCGAAAGATTTTGCTCAAAGTAGAGGATACGATAATATGAGCGAAACATTAAAGAATATAAGCGAAGATGCTAAGTCTGGGTATAGTTATGATTAAAGAGATACTTTTTAATTATAAGCATAATGTTAAATCGTTACTAACTATGTTTTCTTTCAGAGCAACGCTTATCTGTGCTTGGGGAGACAGAGGTGCTATGGCAAGAACACCGGATAACATCACTGTACAATCTCCAGCATTTCCACCACAAAAGATTGTGGATACTTTGGGAGCTGGTGACACTTTTAATGCTGCAGTATTGCATTTTTTGAATAAAACGAAACTAGACTTTATTAAAACGAGAAAGTCAGAATCGATCGAAGTAAATACGGCAATACAAAAAGAGGAAAAACTGAAACATACTATTAAAAAAAATTATAAAATTGAAAGCGTAGAATTTAGTCACACGGAATTTATTACCCAAAATGTTTTACAAACGGCTGTGACCTTTGGCTGTCAAGTAGCTGGCGTCAAAGTTGGTTTAAAAGGCTATAATAAATTAGACGAAATTTTTAGACATATGTTAGAAAGTTAACCAAGATGTTATATTACTTTACACTGCATGTAAATAATTTAAAGGTATAATCGAATTGCATAAAGTTTTAGTTACCAAAAATGAATTTTTTAAAGATAGTTTGATAAATTTGATTTATTGTTGTAAAGTCTTTCGATATTAGTAGGATCAGATATTCATAGTATAACATAATCTTTATATAAGTGTTACTGATATTTGTTTTTTGATCTGAATAGAGTAAAATAAAGTTTTTCATTGTTGTTTTATCCATTTTTATCCGAATTAAGAGCCGAACCTTTATAGGATATAACATACGTAAAATTACATAGATTACGGCTAAACATTTATTTATTATTAATTGACGTATATTATAACATACTCCTAATTTACATTTATTATGCTTAATTTCTTTCAAGGTACCAACAAGAAACGTACAAAAAAAATTGGCCGTGTTTAACGATAGCGGTGAGTGGTATTATAGATACCTTAAGATATTTCCTTACCTAATGTAAAATTATCTACAAGTTTATGAAGAATAATTACATGTGCGTATAAACAAATTCAAAATAGTACAGATAGGGTAAAAAAAAAAAAAATTACTCCGCTTTTATAAATTAGGAGTATCGCTGCGGAAATATCAAACATTCGTTAACACTTGGTTTCCGCTTCGAGAGTAGCGTCGAAAAAGTCTACCACGCTACGTGCGCTCGCTTCGGGAGTACATCTGAAAGAAGCAAAACAGAAACTTTAATCGATCGACCGAGAAAATGTGGCTGTCGCATTACGCGTACCTCAAGAAAACATTCACATAGATCCAATACGCGGGAATGGACAACTCTGAGATGTTTCGTCTCTGGGCCTGTACTATTTTAGCAACTGCCTCTTTCGGTGAAACCATCGCCATGAGGCTTGGGAACCTAAGTAGGAAGGACCTTTGTTAGTTGATTATTTATCATAACGATTGTTTCTCATCTGTTGTTATTCATTCAAGTATATTTTATGCATTTAATTTTATTTTTTTCGCTTCAGAAAGTGTTCCTACCTTTAGTCCAATAATCCAGTCTGTATGCAAAAACATATATACGCGAATAATATTAATAGGCGAACGATTTCCGTGTCAGGTAATGTATATAATTAGTACGATATAAGAGCAACGAGAGAATACTTGTGTAACGATTCCGTATATGTATATTCGAAATATTTATTGCTAGTTGCTTCTTTCAAGCGATTGTACCTGATCTTCGGCTTCAAGCAGAGTCCAGTGTCTACCATGTACGGGTAGATAGTGGTGAAATTGATGTTCGAAACCTTTTCTTTATTTAATGCTCGGATTTCTTCTTTCAAAGCTTCCATGAAGCCTGTTAACGTTACATGTAAGATACAATTACGTAAGACCTCTGGGAGATTTCGTGCAACGAAGAAAGCAAGATAAAAGGCACATGATTTTCACCTCTTACTGCAAACTTTGAGGCGCAGTAAGGAACCAGGTTGGCCAAACCGACGAATCCAGCCATCGACGAGAGAGCTACGATGTGCCCATGATTTCTTTGGATCATGCTGGGCAGGAAAGCTTGTACAGTCTGTGGAGAAATAAACAAATGTTACGTAGTTAAAAAAATAAACGAAGCTAAAGGAATGGGGAAGTTGATAAAAGGTTCGTTTTTTTATCGACTCTAGCTCACCCAACAGTGTGCCAATACGTTGATATCAAATATTCGCTTGATATCCTCGGGCGTGTGATCCAGGAAAGCATGGCAAGGCATGATGCCAGCATTGTTAATCAAGATCGTTACGTCTCCGACTTCCTCCCTCACTTTCTCGGCTATGCTAAATACCTCTTCTCTTTTTGACACGTCGCATCTACGAAACCCAACATGCTCGGTAATAACGTAGCGATAAAGAAAGGATAAATTGATCGATAAGCACACAGTCACATTGAAAATGTAAAATAACATTTGCACAACCGTTTGAGGTAACATTACAATAACACCGTTTGAAAGGCGTTTTAATCTTTGAATTTATTTATTTCTTTTTTTTTTAAGCTCTCCTGGTAATAGGCAATCGAATATGGCGCAAGCATCTATGTCATACTCGAACAAATGTCATCGAAATTCCACGTACTTGTAACCATGTGCCTTAGTCCCGCCCATCTGCTCAATTTCATTCACTGTTTCATTGTTTCCTTCCTGGTTTACGTCCCAGCAAACAACGGTGGCCCCAAGTGACGCGTACTTTAGGGCCAATTCTTTGCCGATACCGTGACCCGCTCCTGTAATCTGTTTAAAAGTCAGTATAATATCATATAAATATTAATTGTTATTTAAATATAGAATAATAATAATAATTGATACGCAAGTTAATTATCATAGAAAAATTCGGCTGATACAATCAGTATACATATATATACATGTATAGAACAAAGCGTACATTTGAACTTTTGATTATTATTGCAATTGAAATTTTTTCGAGTAATCTAATCGTTTATTTCCCTCGGGATTGCAACTGATAAAATTGATTTAACCGTCCAAGTAATTGTTGAAAAATTGCATAATAAATACCAGGACAATTTCCCCGGCCACATTCTTCTCTTCAGCCGGTACGAATAGCCTGTATATTCCTTCGCCTATGAAATAAAGAATCTTTACGAGTAACAGCAGAACGTCTGTCAAGATCAACACACCCCCGTACGCCTTAACCATGGTTTCTTGGTATGCACTCCTGCAACGTGAAAGTTTTTCTTTTTATTTTCGTTTCGTATTCGTTCGAGTGTGATTGATGCTGTTCGAAATTAATGTTAACACGTTCACTAGTTGTTATGTGGCATTATTTCATAACATTTCTAACAACAGTAATGTTATTAAAAAAGTTTACAAATGTTGGATAATTCGTTGAAAATGTTTCGAAAGAAACATTGCACGTTTAAGGCGTCAGTCATCAATGACCATAATGGCGACAATTAGTACAGTCACAGCTACAGCATCGAATGACCTTGAAGCGAGGATTCAATCCTAATTTGTCGAAATGTACCCTAATTTCCCCAATAAATCATTCGGCATGATTGCCATTTTTGGTACAAAATTTCACTTTCTTTGCTTCAAGGTCGACCGAAGGCCACGTTGAATTCGTCTTGATAGAAATTACGATTCTATTACGTCGATAACATGTCAGTTAAGAAAATGAAGGTGACCTTGACAATTGATCGAAAATAAAATCCTCTTGGAATTATTTTAAAATTATGTTAAAATTACCGATGAAAACTAGTAACAATGATGTGATCATTGAATCAGTAGAGTAGAGAAACGGAGTAAAATGAATAATAAATTGGTCGATAATGGTTATCGAGAACGAAACAATAAAATTTCGATCGCTTATAATCGTAATCTTTTAAACTAACAACATGTTAGTAGAGATAAAAGATTATTCGATTTAAAAATTTAAATAGCAGTTAGTGTTTCTGGTTATCGTAAATAGGTAAAGTTTGATTATGCAGACGACGCGATTTCATTGTTACTTTTATTTAACAAGAATTTTCGAGTTTACGGATAAACGGCCGATAAACAGCTCCAAAGCCGGTAGTGAAAACTTTACCTAGTTGAAATAACTTACACTTACAGTCAACCGCTTGATCGAACTTTCATCGAACGAACGAGCGGTGCGTATAAATTGACTCGCGCAAGTTCGGTTGCGAATAAAGGCAATTACGTACATATAAAATCTGCTTTTAAATTACGTTGTATCGTAGATTTACCATTCGAGAAGGGTGCGGTTAAAAAAACGATTTCTGGCGAGGAGAAGTTAATTTCGATGGAGCGACCGAGCTATTTTTCGTGTCGACGAGCTTTTGCTTTCTTAATTCCGGGAGAAACTTTAACGAGCGGAATGACAGACAAACGTTTGTAAGTAATCTTGGTCGGTTCACGAAATCTAATTAACTCGAACGTTTCTTCTCAAGGCGATACCGATCGAGCAGCGACGAAATAGAGTACATGTATTTGAGAATCGAAGAAAGTATCGAAGCATCGTCGTAGCTGCGATCCAAACAAAGTAAAATTAATTTGAAGGATGATTCTTTGCTGGTTGGTAATAATGGTTACGAAACCATTAACAAGATCCTGTTATTCGTAAGCAACAATGTACATACTTCAGGCAGACTTAGTCCTGAATTTTTATTTGTTTCAGGACGCACTAAGAACACTTCGAGGTCAAAGCGGTACCTATGCAGAGTGTGTATAAATTATACTATCAAGTATACCGAGTATATATAATTTTTGAAATGCTCTTTGCACTATTTTCAATTATTGGATAATTCGAGTCTAAAGGAAACCCTGTTGATTTAAAACGAGGCGATTACAGCTATATGTATGTATTTAGTAACAGTGTTATCTTCTAAACTGTTCTCCAACATTTTATGTAAGCTGTTTTATAATCTGTAATAATCTTACCGATCAGCGTGTTGCCGAAGAGCAGCTTCAACGGTCGAAACGGCACCGCCTAGATCGAAGAAGCTACGGACCCGCCAGTGTTAGAAACGCAACGAGTTTTCCTCTCGATCGATCCAGCGGTAAAGCAACGACAGACCTGCGATCCGTTTCCGTTCGTGTTCAGATCGCTACTAAACCGTCCGCGTATGTTTCCGTGGCCACTATTAAGGAGAATCTTCGCATCGCGGGTAACCGAGCACACTCGCGACTATAGAGCGATCGCGAGTGTCGGCTGTGGTAAGAACCCGAGGGTGACTGCGTTGCTGCTGCGTCACTTACAGAACCGTGTGTACCAATTGTCGTGAAAACGAAAACACGATTTGCTTCATTTATCTAGGTATATACCGGAAGGTAATTAACGAAATAAGACGTTTACTTGTTGCAAGTTAGTTTCTTGCATCCCGCGGGTCGCGTCGTCGATCGGGTTACTTTCACCGGGGAGCAAAGATCATCCTGATCGGATAAGGGACCGATTGAAAATAATTACGTCTAACAAATAAGTACGCCTAACGTGTCTGTTTGGCTGTATTAGCTGTACTAACAGCATCTCTCGTACGAAACTGTAGCAGAGACACTTCTTCCTTCTTTGCGACGCAGCAGCTTCTCGCGATACCGGCTTTCGTGCATCGATTACGCAACCACTTTCGCTTCGCGATGCATGTCGCATACTCAGCTGACCGCCAGACGCTCGAGTTTATCCGTAAAACGTTTCGTTCCAGCACTTTTCGCCGAATATTGCTCGCTCGACCGGCAAACTTTCATCCGGCCAGATCGAGCGAGCACCGGCTACCCGAATCCCGGTTTCTGCATCGCAATCACGCCATCACCCACCAACGATCAACAAAGACTTATCTCTTCGACAAATTATACCAGGATTTTCCGATCACATACATACTGTCATCAATAAACGAACGCGTTCGATATTAAACTTTTGTATCACCTTTATTCGATAGTAAACGCACTCGATCTCGTCGAGACTGAAGACCGGTTCTCGGCTCTCTTATCTGGTCGTACCTATACCTTATACCTTATACCTAAATTTTATCCTTAATCGCAACTAGAGATACGTTCTATGCACTCACCATGTATTCTGTCCGTCCATCGTGGCCAGCTGTCGCGATGATGAGTAATGACGTTCTCGGACGAGATTGTGCAAGTTACACGGGCAACGCTGCTTCCGAGAACCTGCGTGTGTGATATCGTGCCCTCGACGATAAAAAAATAACCGTTCAAAATGAGAGATAAGGAAACAGAGGTGGAAGCAGGGACAGAGACAAAGAGAAAGAGCGAGAAGACAATTTACGCCGGTAAAAAATTCTGTACCTACAGACATAGCAGCCGCGATTGCGATAATGCCGCGGACGCGGACTCGGACGCAGAAGAATCTGTTTTCCAAAGCAAAATTTTTTACGCTGAAAGATCGATTCCGCGTCCGGAGACTCTCTGATCGGGGCGACTATAGACGACCGTGGGTCAGTGCACCAATTCATCGATTTCCCATTCTGACATAAAACATCTGCTCGCTAGACGGGTGAAAATTCACTACTGCCCGTTACTTATACCAACGTTTATACGGGTTTCATCGCGATTCGCGGTACTTTCGGTCCGACGGAGCCACTGAAACTTATTTTTGACGAGCACACGCAACTCGAACGAATATAGAACGGTTTTCCTTCGAATCTCCGGTGAACACATTCGAACAGTTTCGATTTCGTCTTATTGTTATTTGTAGAAACCAACGCACAGCCTATCGTCTATATTTTATACAAAAATATACATGAATCTTCGTTTAAAAAACCGATAATTTGATAACAAATTCTTTTGCCTACTATTATTATTGCAATTTCGTCTGAACCGATTTTTACTTTTCTCCGTTGCTGGGCACACTGCGCATCGAGTAGTAGTGACGGTCCAGTTTCTCTCGGAGCAACGATGATTCATTACATTGATAATTATAGATTATGGTCCTAAGCGTCTCCAAACCGAGAAGAAAAATTTAGTCTCACGAACGGGGTTCGCGCTCTATTTAGAACGGTTAAATTATTTAATTTGTCCCGCGTGTGCGAATCGCTTGCCCGCCAAGGATTTCACGTATTTACGTAAACCCGAAAACGCGGGAAGCATACGCGACGGTTAATCCGAGTGCCTTTTGCGATTAAAAATTCATCGCGTAATGTTACAAGCTCCTCCCCCTTCTCCTGCCACGAGCATAAAATTTCCAATCAGCTACGATGCTCTTGAGATTATTTCTCCTTTTTTGCCCGCGAGCATTCCAACTTTCAACCACGGCGTCCAACTATTGTTAGATCAGTTGATGCACGCAAATGACGATAGTCCGTTAACCGTTCTTTGTTGCCTCCAGGAATAGTGAAATCAATATAGGGTTCACGAACCTTCCACCGCGAAGAAAAGAACGCTTTGAATAACGAAGAGTGCATTAACGAGGCGCGTGGACGACTTCTTAAATGGAGGAATTTTTCACGGAAAAGTTCCCGAACGCGTGCGTCCATTTAATTTCAAGCCATGTACTTGCCAACAATTAACTGAATTTAACTTACTTAAAATTTCATTCGTAATTCCGCAGTGAAATCATTTCACAGAAAATCAGAAAAATTCAATTATTTCGAAAATAATTCGAATCCTTAAGAATTTCGATAGGATCTCAGAAGATTTATTCATTTAATAAATAAGTATTTACATCGCGCATTTTATTGTTTTTTTTTCATTTGAAAAGGTGTAATTATCATTAGTGTACTTTTTTTACATTATTCATTTTTATATTTTATGGTCGCATATAATGAATGTTTAGTAATTATTCAGGTTTCCATCTTTACTAAAAAATAAATAATGTTAAAAATTTCAAATTAAAGACTGTAGAAAAGAGTTGAGAAAATACTACAAATCAAGTTGGCCCATTAGCTCAGTTGGTTAGAGCGTCGTGCTAATAACGCGAAGGTCGTGGGTTCGATCCCCCCATGGGCCAAATCTTTTTTTTACACAAATTTTCAAGACTTTTCATCTAACTATATTGTTCAGATGTTTCGTATAGTTACAATACGAAATAATCGCACATTCTTTTAAGTTACGGCCATTTTCATAATAACCGGCACATGTAACGTACGACTCGATCGATTCAATATATCGAGATTTTAGTAAGCAAATAACGAATAAATAAAAAATTTGTATTTGTTACTCCGGGAGGGAATTTTCTCAAATCTAAACGGAGCAGCCCCGTTAAGACTTGTAAGTTTCACAATTCTATGATACAAACTTCCATTGGATCATAAAATTATAAAATAATAATTCTAGAAATAAGTGAAAAAATAAAATATTTACTATTTATGTAATTTTTTTACAATAAATTGCCGAACACAGTAGGATAGAAAATTATCAATTTTCGCAGTTTATTTTAAAAGTTCTTACACTATTTTATTTTTGTACACGTTAAATATAGAAATAGCCGGAAATATAATTATAAACCTTTTTACGATGTCTCGATTTCTCCTAAATATATTTGTTTGTCGCTAGACCCGGAGCAAACTGGTGAGGAGAAATATTTGTTTAGATTAGCTGTAATTAAATAAAATATTAAAATATTTATTATATGAAATATATTACCAATCGGCTCTTTTGGGTGGAAATCAATGTCGTTAACAGAACCATTATGACCAGGCAATTTGTACAATATCCTACGACTTGTAGTGTCCCAAATATAATGAAATCTGTCCGACGATCCGGCTGATACTTTGCTGCCATCTGGTGACCATGCGCATCTCAGTAGGTTCTGCATTTAAGTAACGATATTTATTAAGTATTAATGATATATACAATAAGAATGCAGAAACGCACCTTCTCAAAGTTATGTTGATGTCCAGAAAGAATTTTCACACAACGTTCGTAAGGAGCAAACGGCCTAACGTCCCAAATTCTTAATGTGTTATCCATAGCATTGGACAGAATATAAGAGCCATCTGGACTTAGACTCAGGCCGGTAATGGTGTCAGAATGTCCTTTAAGTTTATAAAGAATGGAATTTTTTCTCAGATCCCACACTTTTATATCATTGTCTATCCCGCCGCTTATTACTTGCTCTGCTGTATCGTTAAATGTTACGGCAGTAACCTGAAACAACAAAAAAATCAATCAAATATTGTATTCTAATCAGAATTTGTTAAATTTTAACAGGACATTAGTACCTGATATGTATTGTTTAAAGTATAACACTGTCCTCTTTTCCTGGGATCCCATACGCGTATTGTACTATCGTCACTGCCAGAACAAAGTTGTGTAATTCCTCTTCGTGCACCCGAGACAGAATTGACGAAAGAAGTATGACCTTTTAATTTTTTAATTCTGGTTCCAGCAGCTATATCCCATAAACCTAATGTCATGTCTGTACTAGCAGTGTATAAATGACTGCCATCTGGGCTAAAATGTAACTCCATGATTGCTCCACTGTGTCCAGTCATTGCAGAGATATTCTCGCATTCTCCATAAACGTTCCAAATAACTGTAAATTTAATATTTTCATATTTTTATTACGATACCGGCACGCAGTTCTTCGGTTTATAGAATAGCATACAAATTTGTCGATCAAAGCCTGTGGACGCGAGGTATTGACCCTCGGGGTGAAATTCGAGCGAAAATATATCTCCTTGATGTCCTTCGAGGAGCATAATTGGTGCAAACAAAGAGGAAGTTCGAGGGGGTCCCTGTAAAAAAAGAAAACAAGATAAATTATTGCTAGGAAAATAATTCAACGATCGTTGTGAAGTAAGGTTAGACTTACATTTTGTACGACCGCTTTTTCCCTGCTACTGAAAACCACTTCGTTTTTAGTCCTTTTCGAAGCAGGAACCAATGCCAGAATATCATCACCTTTACGTTTATCTAAAATTGGCATGACGAGTTATTTCGATGTTTGATTATATTTACAACGATCTATCGGCAAACACGGTTGTGATGTTGTGACAGATAAATATACAAACATGCCAAACGCTAAGTTCCTAGATTCGTCGTAATTTCTGGGTACATCAATCCAATGTTACAGGTTCAGAGCATAGCAGTTTCCAGTGAGCGGATAGGCTAAGGATATTACTAATTTCGAGTCAAGATTTCCTTTTTAGCATCCTTTACTTTTTTAGTTTCTTATTTATTTTTAAAATACTTTTAAACAATTTTCTAAAACAATTGGAAATTATCAAATTGAGGCTTGTGCGATTTTTTATTCGATTACTAGAAATTACAGCATGTGTAACAACTAAGATCAGGTGGCGCTTTGATCGTATCAGCTGCTTCTTTCAGAAAATGTTTCACTGATAAAACACTGCACATACTCTATCGATTATTGCGTAACATTATTCACTCTAAAATATTATCCTACGTGTCTATACAAAGTTCAAATTAAGTAATAAAGATGGTAATGAGCTTGATAAATTATAATTTATTACTTATAATATACACATTTGTATGTACGTATATTTGTATGTTCACTATAAACATTTTGACACATTTCATTTTCTATTTTTCCCTAATTAAAAATTAAATTCTTTGCAGTATAGGATGACCGTAATATTATTTTTATAAATACACATATTTACACATGGCCACTACTATTGCTGGGGAAAATTATTGTGGTTTTTCAAAGAAACTTAATTAACAAGATCTTAAAATTTCATGAAACGATATGTTTTCAAAATAATTATTAGCGTTAGTTCGCTTATACATAACTGAATGGTCAGTCTTTTATGTTACGTTTGCTGAAAAACCACGTATAAAATTCCTACAGTAGGAGAGGAAGAAACTCAACCGAGTGATATTTGTGACACCTGGATTACGAACGCATTGATCTTTTCGCGTACATGAGAGAAAATGTGCCGCTTATAATTCGGATTCTATTAAAAATCGATGATTTGCAAATGCGTAAAGTTACACAATTTAATATTGTACTATACACAAATATACAGGACACTCATCGTCACCTCTTGTACCTGAACAAAATAATATTTTCTCGTATAATTTGCGCTTACTCAAACTACGTCACCGAACACTTTAACGATCAGACTTACTACAACAGCATAGATGTCGGATTTTCCATTAGGCTCTTAAAGGCAGCTAACCATTGTGCGCCCACTGCGCCGTCCACGGTTCGATGATCACAGCTGGCAGTGACGGACATGTATTGAGCAGTTGTAAATCTACAAAAAGTTATTCGAGGATTGAATAAATATATCGATAATTAAAAAATTTAAAAATACTTACCCTTTTTCGTTCTTGTCGGGTACTAGCCTAGTTTCAGTGGTACCTACAGCTAGGATTATGGATTGAGGAGGATTTATAATGGCAGAAAAGTTTTTAATGCCGAACATTCCTAGATTCGAGACAGTGATAGTTCCACCTTGAAATTCTTGAGGCTGTAACTTTCCTTCCCTTGCTTTCGCGGCTAATGCTTTCACATCTTTACTAATTTGAACTATACCCTTCGTGTCCGCGCCAAAGACTATAGGTGTAATTAGACCGTTCTCTGTACTTACTGCTACGCTTACATCGACATTGTTGTATCTGAAAAACAAATATCACGATAATGTAAATGTAAAGTACACATTGTACATATTAGAATCGATATAGCATTTTCTACAGATAATAAGTTACTTACTGTCTAATGACATCGCCCATCCAAGCGCTGTTACCCTCAGGTACTTTTTTACACGCCATTGCCATCCCTTTGATAATAATATCGTTAACACTGAGCTTTACTTTATCTTTTTCTAACATCTTGTTAAACTGTTCCCGCATTTCTAGAGCTGCATCCATTTTTACATCTATCGATAAATAATAATGTGGGATAGTTTGTTTGCTTTCTAGTAGACGTTTGGCAATTACTGCTCGGATATTGGATACAGGAATTTCTACTCCTCCAGAAATGCCTGCAGCACCAGCAGCTGCTGCTGGTTGGGCAGCAAGAGCTGGTCCAGCACCTTCCAAATCTTTGGATGTTATCGATCCGTACAATCCCGATCCTTTTAAGCCCTTAAAAGAGAAAAAGTAATATCGATTAAAATTGACCGATTCCAAAATTTAACATTAGGAAATTAGTGAATTAACTTGGTTCAAGTCACCTGTAAACTAAGGCCTTTTTCAATCGCGAGTCTTTTAGCTAATGGACTAGCATATATTCTATCACCGGAGGGTGTAGGCAGTTTTGCTGCCATTGGTGGTGCCGGTGCTACTGGAGATGGGGGAGGAGTGGATGGTGTAGGAGCAGCTGGTGCAGCAGCGGGCGGCGGTGCAGCTGCAGCGTCGTCTTTAAATTCCTTGAAAGCATTCACGCTAGCTGCATCCGGAACAATTATACAAACAAGTTTGCCGATAGGAACACTTTTTGTTCCTGCAGGTACCAAAATTTTTGCTAGATAGCCTTCCTCTGGAGTTTCAAAACCCATTGTTGCTTTATCAGTTTCAATTTCTGCAAGTAAGTCTCCTTCGTTCAGCTTCTCTCCTGAAATACAATATGACAATTAGGAACTTGTTTCTAATTTCTTTGATATAAAATATGATAAATTGTTCATCTTACCTTCCTTTTTTTGCCAACTAACAATGGTACCTGTTTCCATGGTAGGAGACAGTGCAGGAAGTTGTACTCTGATATGGTCTGGATAATCGGCATAAAACCTTAATTGTTGCTTCCATGGTGTCACCGTAAAACGCAAGGTATTGTGTACCTGAATTCTGAAGAAAGTACTGTTTTACTCTAAAAAATATTAAGAAATATAAGACAGTAGTGAAGTTAATTTTCAAGCACCACCCTTAATGTAGACATTGATTTACATCTGTGCGAATCTTGGTTGCAAAGATTGCCTGCGTAAAGATTACCATGCAAACTATTGCGGTTGCAAAATTATTTTAAACGACAGGTAACAGTTCTCGTGGAGTAAGTATTATGTTAAACATAATACTTAAAGCATTAAAAGGTAAGAAATAGGAAGAAAAACAGAAAACTGTGTTTAAATGACAGTACAAAAATTTAGGGTAAAAATGGAAAGACGAATGTAGAACGAAAGGATTATCATAACGACAGACAGTGATAAATCATGGAACTATAGAACAGTTAGACAGACAATTAAACGTGATCGTGTTGAAAGGACAAATACCTCTGTAGATGTTTTCTGTGAAGACATCGTATGACCATGGACCTCACGATGTTCGTCCGCACGGAACTTCGCAGTATAGCGCGTGCCAATTCATTACGCAGAGTAGTCGTTGTTCGTATCATAATCTCGGATGATTCGAGAATCCTTTACTACCGCTTCTAGTAGCAAGTCGACGGGAAATTGAGGTGACGAAGTGTTCAATGCACTACCTTGGACGACGATGAACACGATCGTGTCAACGATGTATTAGGGGTTATCGTAAAACACGAACAAGAACGGATGATACGTATAGCGAATTAGAGGTCGTCTACAAGGTCACGTGGCTTCAAGTTTAAAGGTGGTTCTCAAAAGGGGAAATCATCGTTCGCGAGAGGATAAGAAATATAGAAAAAAAATGTACCAGAAAAAATAAAAATAAAAAGAGACTCGGGATCGCTTTTCTTTTCCAAATTATAATGAAAATTTATGTCAAGGTTACTTGGCTTACAACCAGTAATGTCATTGATAAAATATAACGAACACTGGGATTTGCTAACTGAAAATCAGCTTCACTTACGTCCGATTCAGTGGTTAGACGGCCGGTTTTTTGGCGCATGCGCGTTAAAAATTTTCAGTAATGTACTACGATCGACTGGAAAAGGATTTCAGTCGTATGGTTCTCTTTGGTTATTTATAAAAATTATACATGTAAATACAATAATGAAATTAATCTTTGTAATTTCAATTTTGAAACATCAAATTGATCTAAATTTTAATGTAAATATCGATATAAAGGATGTGCTATAATGAAGAAGTTTCTAAATTAGAAATAGAAACTTTATTTATATTAGAAATTCTAGAAAATATGTTTAAAAAATAAATTAATTTGTCTTGCTTGGTATTGAGAGCTATCATTCATTTGGCGGCCATAGTTTGGTATATGTTACCTATGTAAGTACTTCGCTGGTATATCGCTGCAGATTGCACATGCGCAAACAATTTGGCGCGCCTAATACCAAGTTCACCAAAGTTTCCATAGTTACACATTCGTCTTTATTTGAATAATTATTGAGAAACACGAATTTCTAAAAATAAATTTTATTGAGTGTAGTTTTGTTTAGTGCTACCAACACTAATGGTAATTAAAGGAACTTAATTTAAGTTTGAAGAATCATTCGAAATGAAGAAACAAGGCGCGAGCAAAGCATTGGAAACAGGAAGGTCCGAGACTAAGGACGCAAAAAATATAAAACACGATAAAGATAAGTTCATGTTTAATAATGGGGATATTTATGACGGAGAATATAAACTTAACTATGAACAATTTTTACTGGTGAAGCAAGGTTAATATTTGAAAAAAGTCTATATTTTACAAAACATTATTACTTAAACATATAGTCGGTACAGGTAAAGGGATATATACTACCGATAACTTGGATGTATACGATGCAGAATGGGATAACGATACGTTCGCTGATAGTGAAATTCGCATTCGGTAATAATACAATTGTAAATTCTAATAAATTAATCGATAGTAGAATAAATTAAAAATTAATTATTAAAGGTATAACGACGATGCTCAGTATCGAGGTAAGATCGATTCTTATGGAACAATAAACGGTCATGGAACGTACACGTTTCCCGATGGATCCACTATACAAGCTGATTGGCTTCAAAATAAACCGTATACAAATGTTGTCTATCGTGAGCCCTTTGGATATACGTGGATAATTGAGAATATGTCAGAAAATGTAAGAGAATTAATTCATATATCTAAACAAATGTTATATATTAACATTTCAATTAAAACTATAGTCGATATCTTTTTCTTCGGGAAATCATTTCTGGACCGACATGTTGTCTGATCAAAGTGCCGCGCATTCTCTACACCAAAACGAACCCTATCGACTCAACGAATCGGATGACGGTGCTTAACATTTGGTGTTTTTACCGTTCATGTAAAAGTGACATGTAACGTAAATACAAATACAAGCGTTTTTCGCTACTGTTTCGCGTAGCTAATTGATTTTGTTGCAACTCAACTTTATAAATTACTCAGAATTTATCATTTGGCGTTTTTCGTCTCATCGTCGTCGCGTCTTATTGTTTTTACGGGCTTTCTCTTCTACTTAATATGTATGTATTTAATCCTCTTTATACATCGATGGAACTCTAAATCGAGTTATGGCAGGTCTGAATAGAGGATTCTCGTTCAGACTGTATACAGTTTTCTTCTGTTCTTGTTCAAACTTTTCGTATTCCTTTCTGTCTATTATGGAAGTCCAACACCTATACACACATTATAATCGATATTTGTTTCATATAAATTGTACTTTGATCTCGCCTGAGCAAAATAGTAGTATTAATCAAATTTTAGCATTTCACGAAGCCTGTTTAAACAATTGTTTAAATATTTTCTAATACATTGTTACTGATGGAATTTTAATGATAAATTAAACTAAAATAGTAAAACGTTTAATCACATCTAAGGCGAGATCGACTAGATAAAAACCAGATTAGTGAATTCGAAAGACAGCAAACTTGTTATTAATTTCGAAACGATACTTACTTCCAAGTCAACAGGCAAACAATTCCGATCAGTACTACTATACCGACGAGTACAAGCGAAATGGCAGCTGGGTGTATCGGTGTGGTGCATGCCTAAGAGGGTTAAAAACAAATAATTATAAGAAAATGAAGAAACCTTGACAAATATCTATTGTATACCTTCTTCCCGATCTTCAAAACAACAGCATTATTTTTTTGGAACTCGTACACGTAATGTATGTTGCACGTTTGTTTGTCTTTGACTAACTTTACGAAACAGTAATGTTCGTTTCCTGTGAAAATTAAATTTTAAGTAAATTTAAATAACTTGGTTGCAATAATTTATTTCAGAATTTGTTAGCCCGATGTTAATCTCATATATCGAAACGAATAGGCGCTAGTTTAATCCTCGCTGAATGGACTTCCTATTTATTTCAGAGATGGAAAATTTTAGTTTTTTTATAAATAATTTTGCAGTGAGTTAGGTATTTATACCAAAGTCCACGGAGTCCACTGTTTCAGTGGTATAAACGGTAGCGTTTGTTCGACAATACTGGTCTATTTCTTCAGGGTTTTCGACGGTAGCGTTGACGCAAGAGTTGTAGAGTGAGCATAGACCACTTCCTCCTGCGCTAGCCGATGATTCGCAATAAGTACCTCGGTAATACGAGTCGTCGGCCGCAGTAACGTTGCATCTGAAAACGATCTACTTAACACGAATAGAGACTTTGCATTCGAAATTAAACATTTTTAATGAAGTTACCATCAGTTGGACCATTCATATGCAATGAATCAGTAATTGTTATTAAATAATTAATTCTATATTATAAAATTAATTAAAATCCCAATAGGAATCTAAGTTACGAACCGACATTCCCCGCAGTCGCAGTATCCGTGACCAGCGCAGATTTCTTGTGTCCCTGGTGCGATACACAGATCATCGGTCGAAGGACATTGGCAGGCTTCTCCTTGCCAACCTTCTAAACAGTTGCAAACACCGCACTCGCAGGTACCTCTATCCGAGCATTCTATTCCACCGATCTGTTTAGGAAATTGTTTATTTTAATTCGTTAATCTCCGTTAGAAAAATCCACGTGTGATTTCATGTAAATCAAAATCGATTGCCTTGTCGCATGCGGAACACTCGCAGAACTGCCCGTTGTATCCTTTGTCGCAATAGCAAATCCCACAAACGCATTCTCCTCTTTCGGAGCAAACTTTCGTTGCGTTGGGGCTGATACACTGCAATTTATTCTCCACCGGTGAAATTTCGTCGCAATCGCAGTGTTCTCCTGCAAACATACAGTTTGTTAACGTCAAATGGATCGCAAACGAAACGAAACGCGACGCGAGATCTTACCAGACCATCCGAAATCGCATTTGCACAGACCACATTCGTTTGTTCCGTGCTGGCAACGCGAGATTTCGGAATCTTTGCAATTGCAACCGCAGAGAAGCTCGACCTCGATCACCATCTCAGATACCTCGGATGCCAACGCGTCCTCGACTACAACTGTTTGCGTCTGAGGAGTATTGCAACAGATCTCGAGATAAAATAAAATCATGTGCAAACTCCGCAATCTCGTACCGAAAAATTGTTAGATACAGTGGAGAGCACAACTGAACTAGTAACTACAAGTTAAGAATGCGTGAAGAATTTGAGAAAATGAACATTATGTGTTGGTTTGTCAGAGTTAGGAAATTTCGTAAACGATCAGTGTCTTTTTGTTATTGATATTCACATACCCAGAGACTCTGGTTGCTCGGGCACTTGTCGAAAGAAAATACAAGCCTGAAGTCGTATACATGGTCTTCTTGAATTCCGTCGCACGTCGACGTACTAGATTCCGGATTGTTTTCTCTCCCGCAGTTGGAGAAGTACTCCAAACGGAGCGGACTCGATGAATTGTCTCGCAACACCAGTCTCGAGATCAAGTCGTGGTACGCGGTCTCGATAATGTCCAGAATGTTCGAGCTATTGCTCGTTAACGTCGCGACTCTCGCCTTCTCTTTCAGCAGGTCCGCGATCAATTCGTACTCGGGACGACGATCCTCCGTCACGGCGAATATCAAATTCACTTTGTTCTCCTGCAATAGTCTCGACACCTCTGCCAGAGAGGCGTAATCGTAATTTGTGGACAGAGAGTATTGTCTTCGCTCGTCAAGGTGGCACTTGAAGTCTTGGCGATTCACCGCGCCGCCCAACTGTTAGTAATTTCAGATATTTTTCAATTACGAAACACGTCAGAGACCATTCATACACATTCCATAGATAGATAATTTAATTGCCCACTTATTTTATTATTTTGCTATTTACATTTCGAAAGATGGACGCATATTACCGTTATCATCTTTCGAGGGGTTGTGCTTGTTGCATTAGATAAACGAACGCCCATAATATTATAATCATTTACAGTACTCAAATCGATTATCTCGCGTTACCTTTCCATCGCCGGCAAAGTGTAAATACCCATCGGTAGCCACCAGCATGATTTTTCGTGTGTGTCGATTCCAGCCGACCTCTTCCGTACAAACGATTGCTTGCACAATTCCGTCCAATCCTCCTTCCAAATTGTCAACGTTTCCAGTAACTAAACTGTCGTTCACCTAAAACAACTACCGTTCAATCGCCGTCCAGTTGTTTAATATTTTAACAAATTAACGCGTACTTCTTTAATGAACCGCTGAACGTCACGGGTCAGCTCTAGATGATGCTGGAACGAATAGATAGGCGCGCAGACCGCGTGGTCGCTTTTGCAAGGATTATCCTCGTGGCCAGGAAAGATGTATGGCATTAGCGGTTTGTCCGCGTAGCTGCCGAATCCCAGACGAAAATTCGTATTGAATTTGCTGATCCTTCGAGTCATGTTCCATCCCACCATAACTAGGGTCTCTTTGTCGTCCCTCATCGACCACGTTAGATCCATCAAGTAGTACAGGTCCAGAGGATAGTTTCTAAACGATTTCTTTAGTCAAGCAACCAGTCGATATCAACATTGTCCGGACGAGTAAATAAACGTACTTGGCTGGTCGATAATGAAGCGGAACCGTCGTCTCGGTGTTCGGCCTAATTCTGAGTTTTACTTTCTGCGGCTTCAATTGCAACGGTGTTTCATCTAACAGGTCCATGTCCCGAAAATCGAAGTTCTCTAGGATCTTTATCGATCCCGGCGGAGCAGTGCGAATTTCCTCCGGCGGGCAACCGAACGCCTTCAATTTCTCCGGTACGTTGCATCTTGGTTTCCCGAGTATCGATGTCGAGTAAGACTGTAGATACACGCGAAAAAAATTTAATCTTCTTTTTCTTCGTTAAAATTCCAATCATCCACTCTACAATACGTTCTTCGGAAGTGCTATTACTTTGGTAAAAAGTTTACGATCCTGTATACCGATACAACATTCACAAAAGATATTCGTATCTTAGAAGGACAAAATATTATATTACACATATGTTGTTGCAAAACAGTGGTAGTTTTACACTTAAATTCTGCTGCCCGTTTCTTTATATTTAAACGATAACCCCCACCTAAAGCTAGGTAAACATTTTCACTATTCGTACGAAAGGAATTTTAGCGAAATTTACCCAATCGCTGCACCACGCACAGGAGGAGCTGGCCTCCAGACAGCTCTCGCAGGAGCTTTGAGAGATGCACTGCTTCAAGATTTTCACATCCACAGCTTCCGATTGTTTCCACTCATAGCACAGAACAATCACGAAGAGCAACGCTACGAAGATTCTCCTCATTTTTACCGTACAATCCGATTACAATATTCTTCTGTGCGCATCATTGATATTTTTCATCGATGGATCTCTTCGTTCTTCCGGTTCCCGCGAATCATGCTGCTGATTGAACAAATCGGCGATCCATGGCGACGTTTTCTTATTTTAGCGATTAACCGGGACGAAATCTAAAATGTAACTCGCGCAATCGTTACAGATAGTGATGTATCGTGCCTGTTATCTGCACTATGATAACGATTCTCATTGAAATGAAAGAAAAAGATAGCGCGGATTCGATATCTCTCTGCAATATTTACAATCTGTGACTTGATTTTATCTACCGCGCGAATTTAAGCTGGCGGTCGGTTCCAATCCGATCCAGTCGAATCCAATTCGGTGGCATGTTACCGTCGATCCTTATTTTATCCGTGATTTACGAAGACAATGCACGTTGGAAAATAGCATCGTCCGATGAACACCGTTTACTCGATTCGATGGAATGGAATGATTACCATCGACACTTACTATTTCACTGCGGAGCTATACGAATCCATCTGTAGACTAACAATATCTACTATTTCACATACATATGACTGATAGACACAGTATCAATGTTTCCATGTATAGGGTGTCCTCTACAATCACGAGAAAATGAAAATGAAATCGTGGAGCTGTTATGCGATGGTTCTAAACTTATTCCGTAACAAAACGTTTCTTTGAACGTCAAAGTTTTTATTATCATAAAAAGATTACAATAATTTTTCTATAAATCGGGATATTGTACGTTATAAATATTCAATAAATATGTGTTCTTCTTGATTCTTGTCATGTTTGGAAATTATTCTTTAATATGCTCAATAATAACGTTTATTGTAATCCTAGATTAAATTTTTAATTGCACGAGCGATAAGAAGTACTTGTGTTTTGTTTAATGAAAAGACGGCCTTGAATATGTTTTACTCATCACACCCTTTATACATATACATTTAATAGTCACAGTAGACATGGAAAGTGTGTCCACCCACTTGCGTGTATCGCAATTACGCGGTGACGAGTCTACCTATCGTTCGCATATCATTATCACTATAGAAATGATTGAAAAGAGTTTTGTATGGTGTACGAAAGAATGACGGCCATTACTTACACACAGCGAAAGTCTCGAATCACTTTTTTCTTTTTACACGAAAAAATGGAACACGGAATATGTAAATGTGTCGATTCACTGGCGTTTCAACTACAGGAACTAATGGTGACATTAATAACAATTAATTTCGAATTAAAATATGTATAATAAATATTGTTTGGTACATCAAAAGGTTTACAAAAATATAGACAAGGAAACGGGAATGAAAATATGTGGATCGTGCACTCTAATAGGATTGCATTTTATCTATGAATAGCTGTGCTTGTGCAACGACTATCTAACACAAGTTGCATATGGTCATACTATTGCCGTATCGTTGTCTACAAAGTAATCGAAAAGGATAGAAACTCGTAACCTTGCGCACTATCCCATCCGTGGAACGATTGCGCTATCCGGTGTTGGTCTAATCGCGAAATCTCTATTTGAAATTGTACATTTGTATTTCGTTTCCCTCGCTATTAACTGGATTAATAATTTATTAGAAGATATACATATTCTTTAATAAATCCCGTGTCTTTGAAGACGTAGAAACGATGGTTATAAAAATACTTCTCAAAATCATCAAAGTATCGTCTATTCAAATGATTTTATAGCGTAAAAAATGTTCGATATTAATTATAATTGTATTTTTTTTATTTCCTTTTCTTTCTTTAAACTTGCTCAAACACCAATAAATTAGGGTATGCAATCTCAGATGGCGCAAAGGAATATTTTTTAAATAAAAAAGTGTGGATAACTATCGATTTCCATTAATATATTCATTTAACAACTGTAGGAAGGTAAGTTGGCATTGCTCGATGAAACGCTTCTATTTGTAGGTACGTTTCAGACAAACAGAACGACGCGGCGTGGCAGAATCGTGAACCTTTACTGAATTTATGGTAGCTCTTATAATTCTTAATATTTTTGTATAAAAAAAAGTTGAAGATGCTCTAAAAATATAAAAATATAGAGCTATATATTCAAATTGAATGAAAAAAAATTACCTCCCTTTAATAATAATTTTTAAAAAAACTATTAAAAAATTGCGGTCCAGGCGGAAGTATCCCTTTAAAACAAATACAATCTCATATATTTCATAAAAATAGACATTTTGTTCAAAGTGTTTCCACCAGAGTTCCTAAATTGTTTGCGTATCGTGGATAACATATGGCACTCGAATAAAAATCTTCGACGTATTGTTCCATTCCACGAATCGGTAGTTCACGTGGGCAATTGTGTAAATACTACACATACTTTATTTCTCTGTTTGACATCTGTGTGTTTGTTCGCGTACGGTTCGAACGGTTACATGGGCTCTGATAAATAAGCGCCTGTATTCGTTCCGTTATAACCACAAGTTACAAATAAAAAAAGTCTTAGATTACTCTTAATGCTAGTGCTGACGTACAACAGTGTTCAATGTATCACATCGGTACCGATTACGTTAAATTGTACCCGTGGTTCTTGCTCGCTGAATCGCTAGACGTAACTAGAAAGTCCTCTCCTCGATCGTACGAAACGTTAATGCACTGTTCGATAACGCCGAAACGAACAAATCTTGCTCGTAACACGCGACATTCTTCAACAAACGCGACGTGTTGCCAACAAATATGGGCAACGAAACGCGTTTGAAACTTTCACTCCTAACCGTGCCATTGTTTCCCATATGGCCAACAAGAATAAGCGTACTTATACTGCTTGGGATTGAAATTTCAAGTCTCTTGGGCCAGCAAACCCGCGACGAAGACGCTCTATAAAGTCCATTCTCTTTGACCGAAACTTGTTTCAATTTTGCGCAACAACTCGCTCAAGAACAAGCTGCTCGACGAGCGAGAAAACTCTAACGTATACCTCACGCGTGACGAGAATTCTTCGATATGCCTTATAATTACGCGGTCGTTATCAACGTATCGTGAATCGATGGTGTATGATTATCGTTCGATGGACTGAGTTGATTCGTTTATCCATTTAAAAACATTTTACACAACGATTAAGGCTTCCTTTCGGAGCTGGAAACGCGTCTGGTCAGTTGCTGATGGATGTTAGCGCCGTTCTGATCCTTGGACAGCACGCTGGGAACACTTTCCTTCTTAATTATTGACGTGTCTTTGAACGTATTGTGGCTACGTTTGCTCGGAACTACGCCGCGGATGAACATCCCTGCGCAGGCCCATGGAAAAGCCCTGCGGATTAATGTTACGATTAAATAACAATCGATGTCTTGGTCAGTGAACATCACTCGAACGAAGCATCTCACTTTGGGTCACCGACTTAACTGAAACTTTGTATAGCGTTAGATTTTGACAGAAACTCAATACTTTAAAGTTTTTTTAATACCTTTGCGAACGAAGGAATGGATAAGTAATACTGTGACTTGGTTTCTTTTATGATCCCCGAATTGTTTTGAACAGTATAATTGCGAGTTTCCATTTCTTTATATCGTACGTGCTATTGCTACTATTCTAGAAAATAATCGAAAGACTTTACCATTTCAGGACGAGGAGAATGTAAAGGTAACCTGGCACTACAGCGATTTTCTCGTTACACCTCATAGCGGACACCACACGGTCCGCCACTTCGTTCGGGCCAAGCCTTGGGACGAATCTGAAGAGCACAGAGCCGTATGTACGTGTTCGTGATAACTATACACCGTGTGAAATAGACTCATACGATGGTATGCATTTAATACAGGCACAAACATGTGTATACCTAGGCGCAACGTCTCCGAACATGCCAGTACTACGAATGAAAAACGGACATACGACCGTGGTATTGATGTTATATCCATCAGCCTAAAAGATACAATAAGCAATATAAAAAAATGCACCCGAGGACAATTATCGAGGTTCTTTTTTTTACACGTATCTTTGAAACGCGAAATTTTTTAGCAAAGAGATAAATAATATTATGGAACAGCGAACACACGTTAATAATTTATTGTCCGCGACGCGAGGCGATCAGGATAATTTATTGAAGCATAAACAACATTGTTACCGCTAGTTCCATGTGAAGTGCTTCCTCGAATCCAACTGCCGCGAACTTTGAGGTACAATAGTCCACCAACGTTGGTACCCCTATGTGTCCAGCTAAACTAGCTATGCTTACGATGTGGCCCTTGTTATCCGCCATCATCGAAGGTAAGAACGCCTTCGTCGTCTTAAAGAAAAACATTGCAGCCCTCAGCTTGCGACGATGCGAACAATGTACATTGTTTCGAACAAAGTAGAAAAATTATTCTTGAACGTAACGTAAAAAAAATAATTTATGTAGGAAAAAAACATATATGGTTACGTTGAAAAAATTGCAATTGCGTGTTACAAGCGCATTGGTCAAAAGGAAATATTGTTCAGCCCAGTTTCTACCAGTACCCAGTATTTCTTTCGCGAAGTATGCGCCTACGTGTTCAGTCAGGGAGAGTAACTACGCATTTAGACATAGTGTACAGTGCACCTGTATCTTTCATAACATTTAAATGGGAGCCTATCGGTTACATAATAACCATTCCAATCGAGGATCGTTATAGTTGAATGCGAGATGCAGTATAGAAAAAGTACAGTGGTATTCTAAACGTAACAAAGTGAAGGATTTTTGGAAAAGCAGGACTCACGGTGTTATACCGGTATTTTTCTGAAGACTCGTCGCTTTAATCTTTAGCGATTTCTGTTACCGATATAATACCCGTATGGTAGTATATCTGTTTAGATATTAGCAAAGTATCGATATTTTGGTATAACTGTTGGAATAATACCGGTATAAAGTCCCTGCTGGAAAGTGGTTGGCGCGATCCTGCCGAAATGACCGTGACATCGGGTGCAGCAAGAGGTCTACGGTTCACGATCTCTTCGCACGCGGCAGTTAACCTACTTTTTCATCAGCAGGTCGTCTTCATCTTCTTTCTAGTTCTCGCTTTTGAAAGTAAAACCAGCGCGTAATTCGCGGCGTAACAACGGCTCGAACAAGGTTTAAAACGAACGCTAACAAATATTTATTCGAACCGATCACGTTCGCGACACCTAAAATTGTTCGATCCGTCCAGAGTTTCGAAAAGAAGTCGAAAACTCGAAACGTATTCCATTGAGTTCGACGGCGCCCTTCGGAAAGATCCTGCTAGGCCACGAGCCTTCGTTCTTTTTTAGCAACGCAACCGGCAGACCTCGTCCTTCTTTCTTTTTTTCCCCATTATTTTAAGACGGACATCTCAATTTCCATTAACCGACGCCGCGTGGTGATGCAACGCGACACGCGAAATCGGTATTCTTCGTCCAATCACGCGGTATAATTTCCTTTCTTCGTGCCCCGAATCCACACGATGCTCTTTCGATTAACGCTCTATGGCTATCAACGATTATCCTCAGCATCGGCCCATAAACTTTCACTGTGTATCCCGTTAGAACGACGAGTGTTTCGTTAAAACGATTTTCTAAATTGCGAGAGGTAAACTGGTCCTCGTTTTTTTTTTTATTTTTGTACAAGTAGATTACAAGTACACACTCGCAATGATCTGTTGTGCTTTTAAGTATTGTTATTATTATTTGGAAAAAATAGTCGTGCCAGATGGTTGCTCGACTCGCTTCTAGTAATGCGCGAAAGCAGGATGCAAGTTCTAGCGGGCATTCCTAACGAGGAACTGCATTTGGCAAGCGCGTTGTCTCTCGCGTGTCGCAACCGCGAGATACAAGTGTACTGCAACTACACGGCCCAGTGGCTGGATCTATCCGACCGGTTTTCCCACCCTACACACGCGAATGGTCCTAAATAGAGGAATCTGCCTCTCACTTGCATATGTCGATGCGAGGCGGGAGTTTCAATTTCGAGCCGCAAATCTGTCGATGACTTGGACAAGGACTACGAGAGTTCGGCAAGATTGTCAAGAATCTTCAATAAACCTAGCTCGGTAACGCCGTAATTGCAACGAAACGCCTGCAAACGAATACCTATTGCGTTACGTTAACTAAACTCGTACGAATACGATTTCTATAACGATTAGATTGTATAAGGATTATGCAAAATGAGTAATTTATAGTCCAAAAAGGTGAATACGATCTGCAAATGAAGCGTGTTTCGACGCTTAGAACTGGTCGGCTGCAGTCTTACCGCGCATTCAAGTCTCCAGAATTACGTTTCTTTTAATGGCCTTCATGCTTTTCGTTCGTGATTTTATTAGACGTAAATTAGTCGCATTATCTAATTGAGTTGCTATTTGATATACATGATCGAAATTTTACAATTTTTTTTTTCTTGTTAAAAATTGGCTAATACAGAATTTTGTCCCAACCATTAGAAATATAGAGAAGCAGAAATACAGTTTAACGAAGCCTCAATCAACAAATTGATATTCTTGATTTTCGTCTTATTTTGACCTTTAGAATCTCCCATTAAAATTTTTCCTAGAGGTGGCCGAACACTCTGTATATACATATATCGAGAGAGAGTTATCTACAAGCGTTTATTTGTTAGAAACGTTTAATCATTTCTACGACCATGCACTAGTCCCCGATGGGTTAAATAGAAAGTAGAAAGAAGATGCAAACGTACCCAAAAGTGGCTCATTACATTTACATCCATTGTACGGATAATGAGCTTGTCCGGTGTGTCCATAAATTTCGTTCCGCTTACGACACCAGCATTGTTTATTAATATCGTCACCTGTAACATGGATGACAATAGGAATAATTACTTTCCAACGAGTGGAACACTTTCTTCGCTACCGTCTGTTCTTTTGAGCGATAAATCATCTTCGCAAATGTAATACTACGACAATGCCGACAGATATAATCTTTAGACATCGCTTTGACTCAGTTTTAATTTACGTTTACAAAAAATTTGTTGTGTTTCGGTTAAGCAATTAAAATATTTGAGAGAAGATCTAGAAAACAGATTGATATTACGTACAGCAATATATTAGATATTCCCCGATTAATATGTTATCAAGATCAATCTTGTCGGTCACACCTGACATTCTAATCTTTGAAACAACAGCTTAGAATAAGGGTTTTCAGTGTTCCGTGGTGCAATGGTGTAATTTATAGATTCGTTAAGCAATTGCACAACACTTACGTTTCCAACTTCTTCCCTGACTAATGCCGCTTTCTTGTAAACATCCTCCCGGTTGCACAGATCGCAAACGTAACCGTAACAGGTTCCGCCTGCGGCTTGCACCAATTTAACGGTTTCCTCCATGCCTAGAACAAAGGAGGGATCTTTAGTTTATGAAACTGACTTCAACTAATAGTACGACACAAATTTAATACATTAAAAATTTTGTTATCCATTATACAACTGATGTCGAAACTTAAAGAGTTAAGACACTCAGAATCTCTCAAAGCATTCGACACTTTCAAGAGTTCTAAGCTTCGAATCATATACGAATTTATATATGTACATATGTACATAAATTCGAATCTTATCACTGGTACCAGTAGCAAGAGGCATATGGCGAAGCGCGAGGAACAAGCGAACACGGTTGACGAGTAACCCACCTGTTGCCAACAGTTAATATCGTGTCTGTTTTATTGTCTGCACGATCTACAGAGGAGGTTGAGGCAATTTAAGCGGCATTCGTTCGTGACGTTTAAGCCCAATAGTTTGATGTTCCAGTCAACTGCTGGACGAAGACCGATCCGTGAAGCTACGACGCAGCTGTTCGCGGTCGTGCACTTTTACGTAGAAAGTTGAAGCCTGTGAAGAAATGGTTGTCTCGCTTTTTGACCAAGTATGCTACGCGTGCTCGCGTAGAACATCAAAGATAATTGCAAAACGCGTAGAATCTCGTTTCCCTCCGGTACCACGTTCCCCGATCGAAATCCTTCGATTCTCACCGTCCGGGAACACCGTTGCCCGAATAAAGCATAAAATCGAGAACCCTGGTATCGGCCAATTAAAACGTCCAACCGTTCGTCGTTGATGGATTACCGAACCGATTCCTCTATCGGGGAAAGGTGGATCGCGACTCTAACGTGGAAACGTCACATGCTGAAACCGCTCGGAACGATCGAGACCAGAAAGAAGGACGCTCGCTAAAGGCGAACACGCGCGATGAAGTTTCATTTTTACAACGATCAACCAGTTTCCGAAGCTGATCTCGGCCAGATCCACTTGCGTGACCTTGACTGTCCGCGCCATTTTATTTTGTCAGCTCGCGGAGACAACCATTCGCAAACTTTTAGTTAAATTTTCCTAGTACGAAGTACCACAGATACAGATTGATTCTCTTGTTTTTAAAAAGCCTTGTCTTCCAATTAAGGTATTACGGAGGGGTACATTTCTTGCTATAGTTATCAATTGTGTCTTCTATTTGAATGGTGTTACAGGTTTCGGAAAAATTCATCTTCTGTCTTCTGTTTTCTTCTGTTGATGAAATATATCCGGGGAGTAGTTAAAATCAGTGGTTTGCTTCTTGTAAGTTTGTAAGGGTCCACGAGCTAAAAACCACTGGCCTAAACAAAGTTTATTTCTCAGCCAAATTTATTCTGCTTCCCGAGTATCTATCTTTCTATGCGGTTGCGAGCTATTCGTAGGATAGAAGTTTTGTTTCCATTGTCGACTAGAAACGGTCCAGTTCACGATACTACTTTCGTGAAGTACACAATGTACACGACAGAATCCGTTTCTGAGATTTTTTATCATTCCGTAGGTTGCTTTGGGCGACACGTGTCCAGGTTGCAAACAATAAGATATACTAATCCGCTTGTCGGCAGTGCAGCCGCGCGCAATCAATATTCCGCCCGCGAGTTTCAAGTTTGCGATCGCTTACGTTTAAAATTCGTTACACGGCCGAGCTTCCTCTGCCCGTGAACCCGACCGGTCTTCTTTCCTCTCGCGGCAATTAATCTCGAACGGCTCTTATCACATTTATTCCATCGGCCATCGTTTCGTTGCCCAACGTCACGAAATTACCTCGCGCTAACATTCATTATATGACTTCGCCTCGAATTTATTCCAGCGAACGCGAGAAATCCTAGCCTCCCTCTACCTCCGTAACTTGGAGCTCAAGGTCCTTGTCGTCTTGCGAACTAGGTGCTCGAGGACTCGAAACCGCGAAGGACCCAGAATTCATTTCATACCGACTACCTCGTAAACGGAGGAATTCTTAAAAGGCACTACAGTACCGAGAATAACTATGCATAAACTCAACCGTGTTTCGAAATTTTTCGTAACATTGAATCATAAATTAAAAGGACCATAACCGGTTCGCGTACTTGAACTCTTCGCAACCTGAAGTTTCTTTTCTTCACAGTTTTTTTTATTAATTCATGATAGCAGTGGTTCAAACGTTATATTAATCAGGATTCAAGGATACAAAGGTACGGTTGGAATACATTTGTCGATACTGCGTTAAAAATCCTGCAATAATTTTGTTTGGCTACAAGTCATACATATAGAACGATTGCCAAGCTAATGATTGCACGATGTTTAATAACTACGAATTACTAGCGTATAATGCAGAACTAACAAATTACGGTGTCGGTGCTTTTGTCTTTGCTATGCAATTAATTACGTGATTCGTGTAAATTCAAGAGAAACAGGAAGCGATTATCCAATCGGATTCGTCAAAATCGCTAGCAAGCAAACGTATTCTGTTCTCTATGTGTACGATATTACTGCTCGCTGAAGCAGCGAAGAAACATGGAACCGACACTTTCCGAAACTTTCAGATTCCGCCGCGGCTGTAAGCAAGGACGACTAATTTCGAGGGCTCGTTGGATTCGCGTTATAAGTGTGAGCACGCCTCCCACGACCTTGAGATTCGGATGTTCGGATTAGCACGATGTTGCACGTTCAGATACCACGGACGTAATTACTCGATCAGCCTTCGTATTCCGGTCAGGGATCGAGGATCAGCGATGCTAGTTCGGCATTAACGATCGGGAACCGACCATTACCGAAAATTCTCCGTGACGGGATTTTACGATCGTCCATTGTACGAAAAGTTCATGGAATTTGGAATTTTTCTATATCGATGCATTATTTTTAATTAGCTTAAAGGGGTATTCTATTTTTTTCTTCGTTTTCTTAACGTATGTATATGTTTTTGAAAATACGTGTACAACAGAATTAAAATTAACGGCGTTACAGATGTCTGAAGCATTAACATTGCTTCGTCCACGAATTTATAAAACGTTCCACAGCATATTAACTTTAATAAAATCGTAGTGTATCGGTATTGCACAATCGATGTACGGTACGTTAGGCTATGATGTTAGGCTCGTTAGTCGAACGTCGTCTTAAATGGATTAGTGTAATTATCATGTTAGAGGGTTTCTTGGTTTATGTAGTGGTCTGACTATGATTCACCGACATCGAACGAATCGCAGCATTTTCAGTACCCGATGAAGTTGTCTATTCAATTATTCAATCATTTCGTCTACTCTAGGCGTTAATAAAACATATTTCAATTGTCTCCTAGATTATCTTATAATTTACAGCCGTAAATAACGTCCGTTTGCAGATCGTTTATAGAAAAATTCGTCAGGAATGTAAAAATTTACAGATGAAATATGTTGAGATATGCAAATAACAAAGTAAATAATAGATTTTTTCAATGCTTCAGCGACTAGTTGCTCGTATAAATATCCACTGTCTATTCATAACAGTTTCGACGATAACTCGAGAAACGTCCTACCGGATCGTAAAAAATTAAACCCCTAGTTTGTTCCACGCCCGTGTAAATGTGCAATTATCACGGAAGCGCGTAAGAAAAAGCGAGAGAGGGTAGAAGAGCGCTCACCGGGTTTGTTAACGTCCCAGATGACAACGATGGCGCCAAGATTTGCTAGCCTGAGGGCGATCAGTCTGCCCAGACCGCCCCCGCCCCCGGTCACCAGAGCCACCTCACCGGCGATGCTTTTCATCTTGTATTTCATCGGAATTAACAATTTGACGATGCTCTCGACGATGGAGACCACCGTGAGGATCAGGAAACCGATTAGATCCCCGGTAGACCTCAGGAAAGACATGGCTGCCAAGTCCCAGAGGATATTTCAGCCCGGACCTTGGACCGTCGATCGTCGACCGTGCACTCTGTGAGCAATTCGAAGGTGACGATAACGGATCGATCACGATATCATAGCTTGCCGTGGCACGTGGTATGTTTCGGTCCTTCCGGACAACGAGAAGAGGGTCTCGTCGTCGCGACGAGGCTGGCCGGTAATTCTGGGCAAAAGTTGAAACGTGGTTCGGCACACTTCTGGACGTCTCGCGCAGCCCTCTGGAAAGCAACGGATTCATTTTTATTACCAATTGAACAATTATCCTCAAAATTAGGCTATCGACATTGTGCAACGCAAACGTTCGTCGATCCAATGTTATCGTTCGACAGAATATGCAACATTTACCAAGCTTTGCATACTCTGAATTAATTAGAGGGCACAAGTACTTCCGTATTACGTACATATTCGTTTCTTGCAATCTTGATATCTAATCCATTTAATCGGATGCTTAAGAAGAAGTGAAGAAAGAAATAATGAATTTGAAGTAAACAAACTCGCGGTTGATGAACAGGTTTCGATCCTAATCGAGTATCGGTTGGGTAACAAGGAAGAAGATCGAGCCGATCTCGCGAGTTCTCTGTTTTATCGAATCGCTAATCTCGTTAGTCGCTCCAGTCGTCGTTAACAGTTGGTATAGAAACTAGTATACGCTTTCTCTGAATTTCGTATCGCTTTCTTCTCGGTGAAAAAAAAAAAAGAGGACGTTGGGACAATCGGACGAGGATCTATGATGTTCCGCCGAAAAACCGAACGAGGAAATACGAAAACGTTTCTCTGAATGCTTCGAACGGATCGTCGAAGAAATCTTCTTTTTGATTAACGTTATACATATATATATATATATATAAGTATGTATATCATGCATATTGTAACTTCACCGTTCTCCCGACCGTCCAGCGTTACGCGTCGAACGAACCACGAATATCACAACGGCTGGTAATTCGCTTTCTAACGAGACGCGAAATTCACTTTCAATTTTCAACCGAAGAATTCCGTACTAAAGAAGCATATAATTTTCGGTTTATGTTCGATCGTTTCGCCATTGTTCGCACGACGATTTTCCGGACACGCGATCCTGCGTAACAAGCCAGAAACGAAGAGTGTCGAGCTAAATTATTACTAAAGAAAACAAAGAAAAAGCAGCGAAGCGAATAGATCGTACAATATTATCTATTCGTAGTATCATTTCTCGTTTTTCCCTTTGCCTCGAGGCAGAAGAACAAAACAAGCAAATTCGAAGGCAAATGGCTCGTAAATCTTAACGCGTGGCGCTGGGTTTTCAGAGCTTTGTTTTATTTGTAAGTTTCAACCTTGACAAGAAGTTATGCTAAAAAACGTTTGTTATCAAGACAAGGCCTCGACGAGAATTTTAACAAATTTTCTCACTCGAGGAAGAAAAAATGCGAATGGTCCATTTTAGATCACCGAGGAAAACTCACCGTTGGATAGGAATCGATAAAAAATTCAAGTTTGAAAATAAAAAAAAATGTACAATAATGTACAGAGTATCACTGCGTAAGAAAACTTGATAAATGATGAGAAAGCTAGTATTGCAAGGGACGAATAAATGGGAATGAAAACAGTCTTACTAGGTAATATTAATCCTTTGGAGCATTCACCAAGTAAGGTCACTCGCGATCTCGAATTAGAATTCGAAAAGTATGGTGAAAGAGTAAAGCACAGTGTAGACGTAAGTGCGTACCTATGCGAAAGTCGCCCGCGGAACGAGATACTAGTCTCACCGGCACTACGGTCCTCGGTGTACTGAATGAAACGACCGCTTCGGGACGCCTTTACCCTCTCAACAATCTCCAGACAGCAGTATTTTGCCGCGCATCACCGAGGAACATAGCCCAACAACTATTAATACGTCCTTGGTAATTGCATCTGCATCGATCAACTACTCATTTACATCATTCTCTGTCGTTTCGTCGACAATTCGCGTCGCGACTCCACGATCCCGACTTTAATACTTTTTAATTAAATTTTCAGGTACTCATAGTCGTTGTGCTACTTCCCATACTGCTCTCGAACGTACACTCGTACACGAAAGTATTCGAACGCTTACACTTATATCATTCGACTAACGAAATGTATGAAGTATTCCAGTAACCAGGATAGTGCAACCGGGAATTAAGTAATTATAAAAACAAAATAAAATTTGTTTGTTCAACCTTTCGTTAGCGAGAAAAAGAACTTTGAAATTTTATAGAACTGTTTTGGTTATCGAGAACATTCGTTTACATAACTATGAACAAGGTCTAAACAAATTTCGATTGTTACATAAAATGATTTGACGGTTCTCAGGCAATATAGAAGAATCGTTCACAGAAATCGAGTAAATCACAGGACACGTATAACTCGACAAGTGAAATAAGACTCTGTTCTAAGTAAGAGTCCTTGTCGTACTTCCGTGATCTTACTTGTTGCAAACCAAGGGTGGGGAACCTTCTGGCATTCGAAGGCTGCACGTTGCTTTACGGATTCCTCGTACGGTTCAAATTTATGAAAATTATAAAAAGATACCTAAATCTAGATTAATTTCGTTTTTAAAACGGGCGGATCTATGCTTTATACGTACATAAAATTTTAAGCCATTCGCATTCTGATGCGTTGCTCGAATCATCGTTGAGATACATTCATTAAACGAGCTTGATTTTTTATGTTAGATTTTATCGGATTGATTTAAAAAAAAACAAAAGCGATCTTAGATCATTTGCAACGCAAATTTCCAAGTATATTTCTTTCGAACATGTTTGCGTATAAACCTATCAACCTTGGTTTAACACTTTATCCTTAGTAATGTAATTGAGACAATGATTTCAATAACAAATTTAATGACGATTTATCATCAGATGTGATTAATTATTTCTAACTCGAAATACGTGTTATTTGATTCGAATGTGATTTACAAATTTTTTATTTATATGTACGCTATACAGAATACGGTCTGCGTTTATTTAAAAACTGTGTTAGGTGTTATTTCGATTAGAATCGAAGGGAGGTAAGATAAACGCGAAGGTCCGTTCCTCTCCTCCTCGTAACATTACGCTGTCTAGTTTCATTACGGCTAGTTGTTCCCGTAATTTACGAACTAGAACACCGGCGCGGCGCGGCGCGTTACGATACAAAATGCTCGGCGATCGTACCGCGCGTTTTCTTCGACCGAGATATGGCGGATCAACGAGAGTCGAGCAAAACGCTCGAGAATCGGCCGACAGTAGTTTTTCGCTATTTATTTTTATGCTAAAGAACGTAATGCGAACGGTCGCTATCAAAATGATGGGCAAAAGACCGACGGAATTTAATGTGTCAAGGAGATCCGGTAGGTACCGTGCTGGCGAAACAACGTTCAGTTACCGAAGCTCGTTAAAAGACCGGGCACGCGAAACTTGTCGATCGAACGATCAACGATTTACGCGCGGAGACAAAAATTGGATCAACGCGAAAAGAGCACTGTTAATTACCAACGATACTTTATGGCTCTTTTTTCCTTTATTGTACGGAGTAGAGCGAAATGTAATGCGCTTACACGTAATCGCATGGTAATTATTGTCTAACCGCTGTGGCATAATTGTAAATCTTTAAAGCGTGCAAAAACTATCTAATTATCATGTAATTACAGTCTGATTATATCTTTTACCAACTCTGCTGAGACATCAACACGTTATACAAGATGCTCTTTTTCCAGAATTTTCTGTATTTTGATAAATGATCTACACTACCGCTCATAAGTATGTGGACACTTCCTTAGTTCTTATATCTACCTGAAAAAAATTATGATATCTTTGGTAAATTTGATTACTTTGCATGTATTCTAGCTCGTACAGTATTAGAGAAGATATTTGAGTAATAATTTATTAAATATCTCACCGATAACTATATAAAATTATTATATTTCCTTTTCGTCTACGTATCCACCGCGTGCTTTTATGACCGCGTTTACCAGTCGTGGCATCCTGGCTACTAACTTTTTCATTATTTCTGTATCAATGAGGTTCCACTCAGAATGTAAGATTTCCCACAAATGTTTTTCTGACTTGGGACATCGTTTTCTAACTTGTCTATCTATGTGATCCCATAGTTTTTCTATGGGATTCAAATCGGGCGATTGGGGTGGCCATACCATCATTTTCACTTCAAAATTTTCTTGCAATTGCAGTAAATAATTTCTACATATTGTAGAAGTGTGCTTCGGGTCATTGTCGTGCATAAATGTAAAATTGTGGCCAATTATGCGGTGTCCAGATGGAATTGCATGTTCTCTCAGAATGTTCAAATACCCTTCTTTTCTTAAAATTCCGTTTATTTTTGCTAAATCTCCAGTCATATTGTTCCCAAAGCATCCCCATACCATCACAGAACGACCCCCATGCTTAACTGTGGGCACTACACAATTGTCATTTAGTTTTTCAGAAACTTTTCGGCGCACAAAAACACGTCGCTTGGAGCCAAACACTTCGAACTTCGATTCGTCAGACCATAACACCTTGTCCCAGTCTTCCAGTGCCCAATTTTTATGGCATTTAGCCCACTGAAGCCTCTTTTTCTTATTTTGTTTTTTTAAGAATGGGTTTTTCACTGCAACACAGCCTCTAAGACCGCCCTCCTTAAGACGCCTTTTCACTGTCGAAACCGAAATTGTGCCGTCCCTATAATTATTAATTTCTGCAGTTATTTCGGGGGCTGTGTCTCTCCTATTTCTTTTACTTATGGTTATAATATGGCGATCTTCTGCCTCAGTTGTTTTTCTGGGTCTTCCAGGTCTTTTTACAGAGGAATAAACTCCTGCAACACTGAACCTATTGATGCTGTAGCTCACACAAGACTTCGAAACTCCTACTTTTTCGGCAATATTCCTTATAGAATACCCTTCTTTCGATAAAGTAACTATTTTCGAACGCATTTCGACGCTTATTTCGCTTCTTTTCGTGCCCATCGTGCTCTTCCAAGTATTTAAACTGAACTGATCTAGGCAGATCACCAGAGTGATCGCTGTGCTCTTATCTAACAGTCTTTCGTTTCGAATTACATTTCCAAATGTTTATGCTACTCTGAAGAAGGCAACAGACCTCACTCAAGTGGTGCAGCCATCGTAAACTGCGAGAAAATAGCCTTACAAACCGTACGCACGCAACGAAATATAACGCAGCTTTCCACCCATCGGATAGACTTTTATTTATATAAGTAAATTGCATAACTAAATTGTTAAATTAGTACTACTAGAATACATTACATACATATACCTAATAGAATTTAGCAACAAACATTATTTAATAATCGAAATATACATAATATATCACAAATTTCGTGAATGCGTTAAGTGTCCACATACTTATGAGCGGCAGTGTATGTGGTCCAGATATTTATGACGCATAAGAAAAGAGAATAAATATGTGCACACATAATAGTTACTTTTCTAGTATCACGCAATAAATTTGAATGTTGATACAAATTACTATGGTACTGTTTTGATAAATACGAATGTGTGCATGCACAAATCTTCTGTCAGCACTGAAATATGGAAACAAAAAAAGAACCAGTTTAACGTTTAAGAAGAAGTCAGTTTAAGGTCATTGATGCATAGCTAAATTCTAATGTCTGTTATAAGATGCAGGAGAATAAAATACGTGCGTCGTTGTAAACAAATGTCGGTGACATTTAAAACTGCGAACAAAAACAACGTCGAGACAATTATTTTTGCCTCGAGAGTTATCGCGTTTTTTTTAATCGAACAAACATCTATAAAATTACATAGTGATAGAACCGGTGGCATTATTAAAATCACCATTTATATTTAACTGCTTTCGTAATCCTTCCATCATTTCAAAAGCAACGTGAATATAATTACTATTCATTAGCTTGAAACTAAAACTGACCATAGAGCGACTTTCATTAACAATTGGGCACCGTACGATACTAAAATTCTTTTTTAATCCTGTCTCTACCGTGATCGAGAAGATCGGGTGGTATCTTATATTGGGGGAGGAAATTTTTAAATTTTATTTATAAAATTTCTAGTTCATAAATTTCATTATCGATCGATTCTAAGCTTCACGCGTCTAATACTACGTGAGCTAGTGAATACCGTAATGTTTGATCAAATCTAACAACTACTTCGAGTAACGTTTAATACGGTATATTCTTGCATCGTTATCGACGTTTGCAAAGCTTATTTTCATTATTCTTTTCTGTATAATACATCAAATACCTTTGTATAGAATTTTGTCCGTGGTTCGTTAGAACGGTACAGCAGTATTGTAAATTTCCATGGTCCAAGTAAATCTCGGAATATCGATCGCCAAATCACTCGTCTAATTATTTTTAGTAGCACGGATTTCGATGAAATTGAAAGTTACGTTCCATCGTAGAACCACTGAACTTGAACACGGGAGATCTCTCTCTTTGCGACTCGAGTGGCCGAGCAAAAGCTACAGGTTGTTCCACGACGTTGTGTCGTCAACTTTCCAGAGCAACTCTGCGAGTGAAAGTGACCAGGTTGGAATAATTCGGAAATCCTTATAACCGAAACACATTAAATCCTAATCGGCCGTTAATAACTTTGCTCGTTTGATGAATTCTTGACGCCGAGAGGTGGGAAGATTAACAAATCGTTCATAACGAGTTTCCGCAATAACTTTTCTAAAAAGGTTTCAGGTCTCCATTTTAATCATCCGCTGTAACCTTGGTTATTAAATCCAGCAACTGAACTTTTCAGTTTCATCCTTTTAAAAAATCAAACTAACTTTATGGGCGACTTGAAACTGAACTAATTTTATGTCATTTTTTGTTCAGGTAGTACTACCAAATATGTACATGTAATAAAGTTTGTGTCAGATTTTATTTTTATCACGATAGAAATTAACATATACTTTTATTACGATTTTTTTAGATTCTTTTTTTATTTTTGAAAACGTAACAGTATCTTCAGGACACCGTTTCATATTGCTAAATTTAACGTACGACATCGCACGGTTACGATAACAGTGATAATTGGCGTTTAAAATATAAGTGAAAAGTTGATAGACTGTTTCAAAAAAAATTTTACAAACTGTACCGAAGCCGCTGAAACGGATCGTATTTTGTAACTTTTCTTACGTCGAACGATAAAAGCATGGACCAAATTATGTTGTATAAGAAAATTTGAATATATTATACGGCTGTTATAAAATGAATTTAGAAAGAAGATTGATATAAAGAGAAATTAATCGTGAAATTTTGCGCCAGCGGAAGCATCCGCGATTGAAGTGAAAACGTCGTTCAGAATTCGAGGTGTCTAGAAAAAATAATAATTACGAAATTATTATTAGCGTGTACTTTCTCTGAAATTCACATTGGGTAAACCTAGCCAGAATGGATTACGATGATCGCTATTGAAGAGGCCTTTTTGCTCCGATAGGTGATTACTAAATATGCAAATACGAAATTGTACAAATATTGGTACACTACAGATTCTCTTTTCGTCTCTCTACGTTTCTACGTATTCTGTGAGCCTATTGCAAAACGATATTTTTCATTTCGAATTTCTATTTCCATTTAAATTTAAACTCGTGAAATCCATAATAGATTGTATTGGTGTTAAATTTCAAAAATGGCTAGCACTTTAAGAGGCAAACGTGTGTTTACTGAAAATTGAAAATATTACTTTAGAGAAAATAACATTGCATATTGCTTTTCGTGGACAAAAGATTGAAACCTTCGGTCGATATACATATGTATGTACCCGAAATACTGATGCTCCCCCAGTAGATGGAGCCACGTGCATTGGGAGCTTAATTGATTCAAAAGTATGTATCACTTTTGAGAATACATAACAAATTAGTTACATTTCCTCTTCCATATTATTACTATCGATCATAATGGTATTTCAAATATATCATTTTATCTGTTTGGTTAAAAATTTCTCAAAACTTCTTTCTTCTTAAAATGTACATATACATACATATAAATTATGCGGTATTATTTGCGCTATTTACATACTTTTAAATAATTTTTAAAAAATGTTAACCACTGAATTTTTATAGTTTATATCGCTTCATAATGTTAATTCGTCAAGTGTCCGATAATTTATAGGCGGAAGAGTATGTCATTTAAAAATTAATTATTGTCTAATGCCAATTAATGTTATCTTCGATTCGAGATTGCATAAAATTAATATAAACACGCTTCTAATCAAAGAGGCAGATAATATGTTAATATTGCACATTGTACGAGTTACGATTTTAAAAGGAGTTTTTTTCAGAATTCATGGAGAACATTCACGTCCGTGTTACATGTAAATTGATCCTTGAACGCAATGAACGACAAAGAAATTTATAGTCCTGTCCGCTCTAGAGGACAGCAATAACTAAAATACGATTGTTCGAATCGATTTGTCTTTCATTTATTCATCGATTCAGATACGATTCATTACGAGGAGCAACGAGAGTTGCATAAAGAATGAAGCGGCACATCGCCCAGCGGTTGTCGTTTTATTGTTCGACTCACACTTGGCGACGATGAAGGCCGTTTAAATAAAAATTTCGTTCGAATTTTAACGACGCGCAGCGATAACAATTCAACTAAAAAATTAACAATTTCGAAATGCTTTAAACTTCCCCCATAACTCTTAAACGATCAAAACTGTAAAATGAACGAGGATGAAACGCGAAATCACCAAACGCAGGAAATTTCACCTGCTTGAGACAACCGTCGTTTGAAAATGTACGAAGAACGGACATCGGGCGTAATAGCAAACGCTGTTGTTTCCGTATATTCCTGTTCCTTTGTACGGAAACAGTGCCGCCGACCTAGATCTTGAACGTCATTCTTTCACCGGGCACGCGATAATTTCTGCTATCTTCTTTATTCTACATTTCAGCCAAAGCGGCTCACTCCACTTATTGAACTTTTTAAAAATCTTAGTATCAAAGCACTCGAGTGATACGTAATCTTTCATGTTTAAAAGAAATTTTAATTGTATTCAATTATCGTTCGGTCTTGATTGGCAAGAGAGGATTTCACATTCTTGAATCTCTGTATACACAAGAAATTCCGATAAAAACCGAATAAATTTTCTTCTACCGATCTCAATTTCCTTTTTATTATTGTGCAAACCGAAACATCGTAATATTCTGTTCGTGTTGCATGCACGTAATTCAAGGATTCACTGTACACCCCCGTAACTTTCTACCTAAAGAAAAATCACGCGATTGCCGACGAATCGCGATTCAACGACTTCGCGTGTAATTTTCCGGAATTTTTAGTCTACCCGAGTCTACGCCTTTGGCAATATCCAGGAAAGAGGAAGGGGAAGGGGAAAGGACATTAATTACAGAAATTTAAGAATTCACAAGCGACTACACGCGAGGAAAAACGAAAGAAAAAACCCACTTGCGCTATCATTGCCAAAGGTATACCTCATTAACAGACGGAACCACTTTGAATCAGTCTAAAAAAGATTGTGCTTAAAAATTCTCTTCTTTTGGTTAATTACAAAGTAGCAACTTTGGTAGGTTTTTTCTGGAAATTGACGTATATGCTAGGTAGATTGTTGATGTAAGTAACCAAGTCTCCGGATATACGGAATACGAGTTTCCGAAGAAACGGGTAGTCGTCACGGGCCACTGACTTTTCGGTAAAAGTATATTTCCACGCGATTTCATGCTCTATATGAGTAGTATGCATAGCGATGTCGCGAGTATGCTAGCTCAAGCAGAGGCTCGCGGAAGGCATAAAATGATAGGACAGCATCAGAATGGTAGGAAGAGAGAGGCACGAAAACTTTCACCATAAACCTGGTACAGACTTTTTCTAGGATATCAAATAGGAATCTGCAACGCGTGAATCGAGCACTCTGCACTACACTATACTAAATCCAGTGGCGTATCCAGAACGGGTTCTAACGGTTTTATATTTCAGTCCGAGCCAGTCTACGCCTATGTATTTCTATTTCATTTTACGCGCTGCCGAGTTTCTCGTTTCGAATTTACGTTAAAAAATTTATACTTTATAGAAACCGTGTAAAAGAGTACTTTTTCAGATTTTAAGCTTCTACCGCTAAAAGTGCCTACCTTCAACCTGTACAACTGGCAATTTGTCCTTAAAAAAGAAAACTCGAACAGAATCGACATAATTAATTACAGTTAACGCATGCCAAGAAAATAATATTCAACGTCTTAATTCGTAAGTGCATAAATAATTCTTTATACGACTACGCGTACTGCAAAATGACTCGTATAACTCGAGTTCAACGTGTCAACGACCATTAGATGACGTCTCGAAGCGACTATGATTTATCGTCCATTATTTCAGTTTACATCTCATTCATCGCATTCAACATTAGCTCTGAAAAAACTATTATGCTACTTACATCACATTTAATCATCCAAAGAACTTACGGACTAAAAAACCTAATATTTCTCTAACCGTTAGTTTTCCCAAAATTAAAACTTTTTTCTTCCATCGACTCTTACGATTTACATCCGTCGTAGTCTATACACATTTCGTGTAAGCTTCTAAACGCATGTACACTATTGCGTAAAATTATTAATGAACCGCTTAATTCGGGTCATTAACAAAAAGAAGATAAAGAATGTGTTACGAAAGTTAAACGTAAAAGTGAACAAACCGCTTTCCTAAGACTTTTGAATACGTCACTGAGGAGAGCTTGAAGTTACGCGGCAAAGCAACGCGGGCCTTCAACTCGGTCGCACCGCAAGATATAGCGTCAGTCAACATCAGTCGATCAACAGACACGCAAGTACACTAAGAAGAACCTGTACCGTTCCTTAACCCCGTGTGCTTCCCTGCGCAAGCAATAACATACTCGAGAAACGTCTTCTTTAAACAGGTAACAATTTTACCGGGCACTCGAGAGTTTCTTTCGCACGTGAGTATGACTCGACGTTCAACGAAACAATCGTGGAAACAGTGTTCGACCATCCTCTGCGCGAATAACAATTTCAAATACAGTAAAAATGAACGTGAAACACATAAAATAGAATCGAGAATAGTGTTTTGGTGCTGGACAGATTAAAATTAATGTCGTTGACCGGTAATTGCAGAACTCGATAATTATTGGGTTTTAACAAGTAATTCCATCCGTTCTGTGAACAGTTGCGTTTAGAAAATTAATCATTCAAGAATCGAGTACAATCGAAACTATCATTGTTTTTCGAGTTGTTTAATATTTTTTGCACTCGACTACAAATAGAAATTACTACTATGTAAACAGTCGTCCGGTCGCGCTTATTATCATCAAAGCCCGATGCGTATAAAGTAAATTTACAAAAAAGAAATGGATTAAAAACCACTGGTAAAACGAAGGCTGTATGAAACAAATCATTAAATTTGTATAATAGTATCGTGTGAAAGGATTGTGACGGAAACGAGGGTGGTCTCCATGTTTGGCGCGTGTGCTTTCTATATTCACGGCTCGCGCGAAAGGATGTTCCTTACGAATAATCGGACAGATAAATATATTCGAGGCGACGCGTACGACGGCCATAGAATAAATTTTACGTCGAGGAACCTTGGTGCATCGACCGAAGTTAATAACACCCGGTAACCGCAAATCTGAAGCACGATTGTATACATATACCGGTCGCGCCGCGCTGCACAGGCAATTTGCGTCCACCGCTGACATTTAGGCCACTGATTTCTACTTTTTGTACAAACGAAGAAACAGGCCTTTCGCGAGTTCTCTACTTCAGCATAGAAGTGAACGTGCGATACGTAGATGAAAAAAAAGAAATAAAACGGGGATTAACCAAGCATATGAAGTAACGTCTAAGTGCGCGTAATGCAATCTTGGTCCCGTTCGTCTTATCGCGAACTAATTACTTTGTCCCCTTGCAATTTTTTTTTACACATTTTACTCCTGATTCAAAGACCAGAATTATGGAACTCTGAATAACTAGCCTACGTTTCGTTATCAGTGTCATAAAAAAAACTACTTTTGAGAAGACCCAGTTGGTCTTAGTATGCAATAGTTGTAACAAAGTTTTCTCTTGGGTTTTCTTTTCTGATAATGTCCATTTTGCAGAGACCGTTTTGCAAAAGTTGATCGTTTCGCTGTTTAGGGATACAAATGGAACTATCCGAATGGACTCTCCTAATGTACGATCTACTACTATTTTTGGGAATGGCGGTAATTTATATAAGCGAGGCTGTTTTATTAACGTTCGTTCCTCGACGCTACCGTGCAAAATCTATAAAAGGAGAGATCGCTTTGATAACGGGAGGTGCGGGTGGTATCGGAACCTTGATCGCCAAAAAATTGGCGAAACTTGGAGCACACGTAGTCATCTGGGACATTAACAAAACTGGCGAGTCGAGATTGATTTTGTCATTCGTACAGACACTGCTATGAATGTTTCTAGAAATGATATTTACAGGTATGCAGAATACGGTTCGAGAAATAAGAAGAAACGGAGGTAAATGTTGGAGTTACTACTGCGATATCGCAAACAGGGAGGAAGTGTATAAAACAGCAAAGACGGTGCAAATTGAAGTGGGTAATGTGAGTGAACTGCTATTGAGTTTGATCCAACTATACAATTATTTCGTGTTAATATTTCTGAAATATTAATACTCAGGTAACGCTACTGATAAATAACGCCGGCTACGTATACGGAAGAACGTTGTTGGCTCTGCCCGATGAAGAAATCGAACGCACTTACGGAATTAATATTTTGTCTCACTATTGGGTAAGTTCTATCGGATATTTTACCATCATGATATACATGTACGAAACACTGTTGTCGAGTGTCTACTTTAACAGATTACTAAGGCATTCATGAGAGATATGATGAAAAATAATCATGGCCACATTGTGACTGTGGCCAGTGTGGCTGGTCTCCTAGGAACTTACAACTGCACGGATTATTCAGCAACCAAATCTGCAGCTATCGGTTATCACGAGAGTCTCTTCAGTGAACTTAAGGTTTCAACATTTTGACATTAATTTTAATTTATTTAACTTTATAATAAGTGATTCCATGTTATCCTAGGCTCATGGATACGATGGAATTCACGCGACCTTAGTTTGCCCTTATTTTATCAACACTGGTATGTTTCAAGGAGTGAAACCTAGGTACATAAATATCGATCCAGTGACCTAACACATATTGGTTCAAGTTTCTTAAAAAAATATGTAACTTATAGATTGATGCCAATGTTAGAACCTGACTATGTTGCTGACCAAGTTGTGTCCGGAATATTGGTAAATCAAATAAACATTGTACTGCCTGGGGCAGTCAGGTACCTGTTACCACTTAAATGGTAAAACGCAACAATTTCTGTGCTTTGTTTAATCTGGTTCAAACAGTAATTATAATAGTCATTTTTTTTTATATTAGCTTATTACCAGCAAAGTTGTGTTGGGCGTTGATGTATCACATTATACGTGGGCCTCAATCTATGATGATGTTGAACAAGAAAGAAGAAAGACAAACATTAACAGATAACAACAACGTTACACTAATTTCCAAAGAGACATACGCACACTAGTACAAACAATTTCGATACTACCGAGGAAACGTTCGTGCGTGTTCTGTAATAATTTATGACTTCAATTTTAATGGTATAGAGTAACAAAAAAATGTCATTGTTACTTATAAGTATTCATTGAGGAATTTAAACTATGACTACTAGTTGTATTTATGTAGAAGAATAAGTTTGTTATTGGTTACTATTAAGACTGAATATTGTAATATGTAATGTTAATTACAATTTTATTTTTTTCACGTCATGTATTTTTTGTAATATTTATAAAAATATTCATAACAAATCGTAAAAGTAATGTAATCCCTGACCAAGCTCCCAAATAGATATACCTGTACCCAATTCTGATGCAAGATCCAGTCGATGGAGAATAGAGTATAATGTCGGATAAAAGATAATTCCACTGCCCCCTGATGACCTGAAATACATCCCCAAATTTCAACCTATACCAAATCGATTATACCTAAAATGCTAGTTCTCTTATAATTCCGAGTCTAATTCGGAATTTTTAAAAATACGTCTTACTTTGCTTCGAAAAAGTGTTCTTTGCTGTTATTATCCCACTGAATTTTCCCTTTAAAGGATTCGAGTATTTTCAAATAGTCTGACCCTAGAATCGCTCCCCCGCCTTCAGGGGTGTAATTGTATCCATAGAAATTAAGACCTAGCAATATCTGTGCCCGTTTAGGACCATTTTCGGGTACTAACAATTCCACGCATTCCCTTGCCCAATCCAAAGGACTGTTGGGTCCAGGACGTTGTACGCTTGAATAATCGTACGTCATTAGAGAAAAAGCTTTTAAATATGGTGATAACTGGTCAAATTGATCTCTATTAAACAACTGAACTGTTGGGCTGAAAGGTTCGAGAAGACATAGTATCGTTAAGATATATTCCTCCTTTTTTGTCAACTAATTTCCTATTTCTTTGCGAAATATACAAAGCACAGAAACAACATTCGCTTACTAATGATAAAAAATAGTAAAATAAAACTTACCCTCCCGATGGTGGCACTGCTAAAATTACATCCAAATCATTATTTTTCAGGTTTTGAGCTATGGATTGAATCACTGACACAACAATCTGCATGTCTGCACCCGATAATACAAACTGGTTCCACATTTCAAAAACGTAGCCATCAAAATGGAACGTCTGAAACAAAATAACATAATTGTTAGAATATTTTTATAGACATTTGATTAATTCTACGTATTTTTGTAGATACCTTAGCCGTATCTATGAGTACAGAAATTAGTGCAATCTGTTTATTTGTGTCGCTGTACAATCCAATAATATCATTGACCGACCAATGTTCAAATAATACTCTTGGTAAAACTAAAACGAATATTTATATACTTATAGAAATGTACAGAAATTTATCATAATATTATAATTTTTAATTTCACGTACTTTTCACATAATGGTCTTCATTGTTTGCAGATCTCATTTCTTTCAACCACTTTTTCTGTACATCGTGAGTCGCCAATTTGTACGTTGAATCATTGCCTCCTGGAAACGCTAACCACACTGGTGATACCATGGTAAATTTTCCATGAAATAGTTTGGAAACTTCGAGCCCATTGTTATTCCACTAAATCAAACATACTTTTAATAACACCACTGTTTTAAATACTTTGCAAATTATTTTACTGAAGCAATATCCTATTTTCTTTTATGTGATTAACTTACCGGTGTAATGTATCCTAAAACATCCCCGGTAAATCGTCTGCGAGTTGTATTAGAAAAATAGAATCCCGATTCACGAATAATATCGTGTGATTTAGGATTCTTAACAACCAAATACCGCTCGAAAACATCCTGATCTGCAGGGCCTTTCTACAATTTCAATGTACGACAAAATCAACATATAATAAACAAATATCCGTCTACAATAATTTTGTAATTCCGTTCTCTTTACCTTACTCTCGATTTTTCCTTTATTTTTCTTACCAGTTTTTCCTCTCGGTGGCGATAACGTACATCTCGACAATTGAACAAGTAAGAACAAGCTAATGGTTAGTGTAAAAATGTTCATAATAATTATTTGTCTTTAATACTGACTAATTGAAATCAACTGTCATTACCGGGTAACATATGTGGTTGAATTGCTATTCAAAGGATTTTGTTAGAATTGTTGACAGAATGCGCTACTGTCAGACTGTATGAATATATGTATGCATGCAGTGTAGCCAGATTTGGCATAATTGAGTGCATCGACAGCGACACTAGTAACGACGAACTTCCTTAGCGTCTACGTAGACATGATCTACCGCACGAGCCATGTTATGCGAGCTCGGCACTTTGCACAACTTCGGGAAATCGAGAAAGAAGACAAATGCGAGCCTTTCCTTCATGATCTTGAACAGCTCAAGTCCGTTCTCGCATCAATGGCATACAATTTCGAATTTCGAATCTCAACAAATCCTATGCACTTTCGAGAAAAAAATTCCAATAGGTAGACAAATTTTTCGGCGATATTAGATTATTTTAAATCATTCTGGAAAAATTATTTTCGGTTGCGGGGGTCAATTACAATAATTTTTGGCGAATAGACATACCCCCGAAATTCTACGCACTTTCGAGAAAAAAATTCTTTATCAAAAATATAATGTAAGGTTAGAAATGTTTCCCTGAAAGATCATGCGAATGTTCCAAACCCCATAACTTTTGATCGGATTGAAGGATTTTAATGTTTCAAAAGGCGAACAACGCGTATTTTGGTGTAGAATATGTAGAAATTTCAAGACTAATTGGAAAGTTGTTCCTTAATTGCGAAAAGTGACACAAACCCCATAAAAATGGTCCAATTTTCAAACGGGCATAACTCCTACAATAGTTAATGGATTTCGTAGAAATTTAGTCTGGAAGTAATGCCACCACTCCGTTAAACGCTAAGGACATTCGTCGTTACTAGTGTCGCCGTCGATGCACTCAATTATGCCAAATCTGGCCACACTGTATGCATGTTCTTACGTACGCATAGTGAAATTTTAAAAATTAAATTACAACTTTTTTCATACATCTATTTACAACAAAATACGCACAATAGAAATCTTTATCAAGGATCGATCTAAGATTGCGAACCGAAAATGAATTTTTGATAATTGAGCCAACTTTTATGCTTGTTTACATGAAATGCGATGTATATATGAATTACTTATTTCGCTCGAAAGAAAAAGAGTTTAAACAATTGTTCCATTGATGATATGGACCATTGATTAAGTTAGAATTATATGCGAGTACAATAATAATAAAAATTATTAAAGAAAAGAAAAATTAAAGCAATTGAAAGTAACAGTTCTTTAAGGTTCTTTCCGTACGTGATTGGGTCACATGATATGTGTTTTGATGTAATATGGCGCCTTTAATTGTCACGGTGTAATAAAACTTATAAAGAATGTGAAATTTTTAAAGTGTTGAACTTGAAACTCAACACAGAATGCCAGTTGATATAAATCGACTAACAGAAGGTTGGCTAGAATTAGAAAGTGATCCAGGTATAAATTAATAACAACAGAAACGTGTTATTGTAATGACGATTAATATTACAGTAACTAAGTGTATTATGAGAACACAGTAGTTTAAGTTGATGTATCTAAAAAAATCAAGTTTTGTACAAAAAAAGTGAAAATTTAGAGTGCATTAAATAGAAATAATTTTAACATTTTTGGCTCGTTTTAATGCCTTTGTGTATAGTTGTAATACATTGTATTGTAATATCAATAGAATAAATGGAACGAATGAGTGTTTGTGTCTTTTCATAGTATGTAAGATAAAATATATTTTAGAAGATTTGGTTAACACATGTATGAATCGTTAGGTTTATTTACTCTACTACTGGAAGATTTTGGAGTAAAAGGTGTCCAAGTTGAAGAAATATATGATTTACAAAAATCTTTGGAAGGTCCTGTATATGGCTTTATATTTTTATTCCGTTGGATAGAAGAAAGGAGATCTAGGCGCAAAATTGTAGAACAGGATGAAAGTTTTGTAAAAGATGAAGAAATCGTTAACAATATATTTTTTGCACAACAGGTACGTTATAGCCTTTATTTATGGTTCATTATAGTATCTAATTACTTTTTATATATCCTTTGCATTGTACAGCATACAATCCTTGTTGATAAACACTTGTTATAATTTGTTCATTTTGTTTAGGTTGTGCCTAACAGTTGCGCGACTCATGCATTACTTTCGGTGTTACTTAATTGCCCAAACATCCATTTGGGTACAACTTTATCCCGATTGAAAATGCATACATCCGGAATGTGTCCAGAAAATAAAGGATGGGCAATTGGTAATACACCAGAATTAGCATGTGCACATAATTCACACGCGATGCCTCAAGCCAAAAGACGTCAGGATAAAAATACGGGTGTCTCGACCGGTAGATTTACCGGCGAAGCTTTCCACTTTGTTAGTTACGTACCGATTAATGGTAGACTATTTGAATTGGATGGCTTGAAACCGTATCCTATGGATCATGGACCATGGAAAGAACACGAAGAATGGACAGAACAATTCAGACGCGTAATTACAGATCGTTTAGGAATGGCAACAGGAGAGCAATTGCAAGATATAAGATTCAATTTAATGGCCGTTGTTCCTGATCGGCGACTCGCTATCTCACATAAATTAACTATGTTGAAAACTAATAGGCAGATAGTATTAGAGGCATTACAACAGCTTGTCAAGTTAAGCCACCAAGACGGCTCTGAAAAAAATCAGAATGATTCTGAGAAATCGGATAAACACTACGAGAAAAAGAGCAAAATCGATGATGAAAATGTTCTGCCCAATAAATCGGAGATTAACGAATCTTCCGCGGTACCAGGTATTATCGTTGAAAGAAGTGGCGATAGTGCAACGGATATGGAAGAGTCAGCTTCGAGCGTAACTACTGGAAAGACTGAATCAAAGTAAGTGTGAAATAATTTGAGTAGTATAAAGATCATGTTTATCAAATATTTTATTTCGTAATGTCATCATGAATCATAAAAAACATATTATTATAGTGGTATGGAAAAAGTAGTGATGTGTGCGTTGGATTATGCTACCCCTCTTCGAATTCAAACATCACCTGCACATAGTTCATCCAGCACCGATACTTCGTCCGAAATTGGTTCTGCTTTTAATTCTCCCACGCAAGGTAAGTAAAAAACTGTTGCTATGCTATTTTGCTTTACAGAGACGTTTCGTTGTACAGACCTTTTTGCTTTGACAAAATATTAGGCTATTTGGACACATCAGTCTTATCGATTTGAAATTTTGCAAATTGTCTGAAGGAGAATAACAAATGTAGTAGTGCGATTCGGATGTGACGTCTCTTGTTTTTCCATGTTCTTTACATATATTGTTTTCCAGCATATTCATTCGATGCGCGTTATCAGCAACTTCTGAACGCTGTATATCTTGTTGATTATTTTCCAAACATTTCATATAACTTTCTCTGTCACACACTCTAGTATACTTATTAAATGCTGTGTAAGATGGACACGAATATTCTATAATGGACACTATTTCTGGTTCGCATACGTAATATTTAACACAGTCGGTTGCATTCGGCATTCGAACATTCTTTACACATGGAATTATACGAATAAATTGTGAATTTAAATGGTATCCCAATGATTTATATCTTTCAGTTGTTAAATATTGTTTGTTTCCCGTATTATCGGTAAATAAAATTATATTTTCGTTTTCTGATTCGTCAAGCAGTGTTTGTATTGTATCGTTTAATGTTTCCACATGTGACATCAATTCGTTTGAATTGTCGCTATTTACGACTTTATCAGCTTCAGTTGCATTTTGAATTTTTGTATCAGTTGCAGTTATTGTTTGCAAGTTCGTCTGTTGAATACAATTCTGTACAAGATAATTCATTAATACACTGGGTTGGCTGGTTTTGGAAAATTCTGACTCTTTGGACAAAGTATCTTTCATACTCGTGTTAGTTTTTGAGGAGGTAGGTAGCGACGCTGATACTAGAACTTCTAAAGGTATAGTGATTTTTCTGTGAAGCAGTAAGTGATGTATTAATCGATTTAACATTGAATATTCATTTTCAGTATGATTCTTTCTTTGTAAATAGCCATATTGTAAGTTATTAGTTTCAGAAATGTCATCCATATTTTTTTCGTATTTATTCTCCATTGTTTCCCCAAATTCAATTAAAGGGTATGGTGTTATCGTTTCTTGATTGAACATATCAGGAATGCTATCAGTAGTATACGACGAATCGATAAGTTCAGAAAAATTTGGAGGATCTTCTGTCAATCCCATATAACTAGTTTCATTCGGATCAATTAATTCAGGTGTATCATACCTATTTGTTATAATAGATGATTCCGTCGATAGCGTGTCGCATGTCCAGGAATCGCCAGGTAGAACACATATTCGTAGATATGGTTGAAATACCTAAAACCGAAACATTGTAAGATTTATAAATCCATTAAACCGTATTAATGCAATAATAAATTATCTTACCAAGCCTTCGGTACATTTGTTTGGTACCCAAACGTACCCGCCACTAGGTAAATTTATGCAATTATAAAATATGGTGCAACTGGTAGAATGAGGCTTTCTTGATTCTGGACATTTTGAGGATTCTGTTGTAACCAGAATAAAAAATAAAATAGAGAGCGTTAGTCTCATCTTGTCGTAGCGTTCCATGCACGAGCTGTACAGCAGACTGAAATTCAAATACTTTGCTTGATGGTACTATTTGCTTTTCACACGTTCCCCCACATTTCGTCGTTTCCTTTGACACCTCTCAGATACAGTTACTTGACCTAACCCTTGCGATCATCTTGCTATGCTTGTTACAGAAGTTGTAAAAGAACTTATATTTTTTTATTCTAATATAGATGAGGAAGAAGTTGCATGTACTAAACAAGTTTGTTTATAGCATGGGGATGGAATTCTGGTCAAAGCAGTCCAACGTCGACAAAAGATTTTAAGAAGTTTGTTGTAATTAGAGTTGCTGGGGATGAAAAAAACGAGACAGGTTTAAGTACGTATATACATTGTTGCTTTGCTATACATATATATATATACATATGTATGTATATATATTTTTTACTACGATGCATTGCGAGAGAAAACGGTAACAACGCATAAAATGTTTGTGCACAAATAGGTCGTTCTCTTGGGAATATTAATATAAATGGAAAAAGATTAGTCTCTGATAGCGGCCACTTGCATAAAAAGGTCTGTTTGTCGGGAGAAGTTCGAATACCCCATGCCAGAGTAAAAACTAGTAACGGGGATACCGTTATCGAAGAAAAAAAAGTAGAGAAAATCGATCCGAAATTATGTTCAAAATATCCAGAATTATTTGAACCCCACACGTTTGCGCCCAAAGATCTTTTAGCGTTATTGAAAAATTTAGAACACGAAATAAGCATGTGCGAAACCAGTTTGAAAGATGAAAATGATAAGAGGAACAAATACAAGGTGAGTACGGTCGAGGTGTCTCAGTATACTTACATTCACGTTTGGAATGGACAATAGTATAGAACATTACCTCGTTTTAGATCGACGATTGTCGCAGAACACACAATTACGATGAGTTTATTTGCACGTTTCTTTCGATGCTTGCCCAACAAGGTAAATTAGCAGAATTGGTTCAACAGCACCTGACTTTGAAAAAGCATACTTCTGTATCAGTAAACAGGGTTCATAGGTAAGCGGATTTGCGATAGTCCTAATCGGATATAAATGTCATTTATTGACCAACGTAACAAATTTGAATGCAGATCCTCGAAGAAGACAGATACTCGTTCAAACTCATCGCGTAGACGTCGAGGTAGAACCAAATGCAAGAAACGGAAATAATCCTTATGCTTAAATCAACATCAAGTTGGAATTGTCAGTAATGAAACGTCAACGTCACTGCGAGCGCATAGTTTTGTAAAAACGAGGAATGTAAAAAGAAAGAGAGAGCGATTTTATCGTATTTTACGTTACTTATGTTGCATCGACGACACCGAACGATCGATGCTTCTTTTACTTTCCAATGCAAACGGAAATATTTTATAGATAATCGCAAATTCGTCGGCTATAACAGCCATGCTTATTTGTTCTTAATTTATTTCAAGTACCAGGCGCGATCGACAATTATACTTTACGATTGTACAAATTAACTTTACTACGATATATTTTTTTGTTATATCAATGCAAGGTATCTATTTATCGTCGGTATACCTTTTTGGGTATTTTTTCAGTAACTTGTATCTTTACACCTAATTATATTTCGTCTGAAATATATATATATATATATATGATTTCTTAGATACGAATACTTGGTGTTATTTTCCACTACACACTAACGCTCTATTACAGTAAACAACAATGCGTTAAGCGGGGTGTAAAAGATCAAGAAGAAACGGCATCAAGTATTGTCAAAAACATTGAAAATATTTATTTCGGTATTCATATACAAGTACACTACACGCTGTGGATATGTCCCTTAGATTTAAATACTTATATCTCCGTACAGCCGGAGAGAGGAGGATCAAAAACTCGTATTGGAATCATGTTTATCGTGGACAACGGCCGACTGTCTAAGTAAGTCGCTGTACCATTATAACTGTATTAGGAACTGTATGTGAAATGTCCTCAAAGAAGCTATTTCAGGGTACGGGTAGAGAAGAGACACGAGGATAGTTTAACGAAGAAAAATTAAAAAGTTCCTTCTCCGGCCGATGCTCACACACGCCTTCGACATTCTGCGCCACGTTCATCGGCACGAATAGCGTGCTTTTTGGCAAAAGTGCAGTAGTTTATGTACAAATTCATGGTCGCCGTGGTCGAGGCAAACGGTTCCTCGTGGGCAAGCTGATTCGAGGGAGAAATGGAGATTATTTGGAATCTTTTGCGAGTGGAACCTGCGACGATCATCGCCATATACGCACACGGTTCGCATCACGTACTCCGATCACGAGCGAGTTTATAACATTCGTATTTACAAATAACATAGTCCCGTTCCTTCGAAACCGTCTTGGTTAGCGATAAAAAAGTGCTTTTCAATTTCGGGTTACTGAGAAACTGTAGCCTTCGCAGCTGGGCACACGTTCGTTATTATAGGCACTCGTGGTATGTTACGGTAAATCAACTGCTGAACAAAATAAATCGTAACGATCGAACGTTCCATTTTTCATCAAGTTTTATCGCCGCACGATACAAGCGTACAAGAGAAAGTAGAATAGGTCAGAATCCAAGTATTACTTTACGGGCACATTTGTTCGACGGTCGATGCTTATCGATAAAAACAATGAAGTAGAATTTAATCGTACGCATATTCGTCGTCGCTACACGTTGCGTGACTTTTTATAATGGCTTCCGTTCACTCTGAGCTAGATGTGTGAAACGTTTGAGCGGCGACAGTAAAAATGTTCATCGACTGCGTTGCCGTCGACTGTCGTTCGCAGAACATTGTTTACGCGTTTTATTAATAATATAAACATGTCGTATAAAATATAGAAAATTCACGCAAGGAAAATAAAGTAAAAAATATGAATGAGTAGAGGAGAGGATAAACACGGACGAGATCCTTCCGCGAAGAACGCCGATTACGATAAAACAGTCTTGTGATGTGTCTTCCAAAAATCTTAACAAACACAGTTCTTTCATCAAGCCGCAGATCATCTATTGGTCGGATCTACTCAGAAATGTTCAAACGATATTGAAGCCTCGTTCTTGTACCTCCTCATTATAAACGACACAAAAGGTAGCGAGCGTGGTGTATCGGTGCTGGTACAATGAACGCTGGATAACATTTTATCGTAGCCTTGATTATTCATCGTTGGCGCAGTTATTTCCCGTGACGTTGGTAGGGCCAGGGACGAGAGTAATATTTTCAATCAAAAGTTAAATCTTGGAAATCTCTTCGAGTTACTTTCTATTCGAAATGCAACATTTTAGAAAACCCCATGTACGCGATTAACGGTAATAAATAAAGGTATGTTTTACAAGTACAGTGAATTAACGTTAACACTTTGAGCACAGCGAAGGCGTAAATAAAGAATTATTATTATTATTAATCAAATTTCAGTTGACTGTTTTGAATATTGTCAAAGATAAAGTTTTGTTTCCGAATTACAAGCACGTTTAGTGGGTCATTTGAATATGTTCAGGATGTTAACGTTTGTAGGTTATATCGTACCAACGCGACGCACAGGGGGTGTTGACGAATGCATCGATCGAACGATCCTATATGGTTTCTCCTCTCCTCTTATTTATAAATACGTAACAACACGTTTATTACAACAAATCGCTCGCTACCGAACGATCCGATTTGTCGCTTTGGTTCTGCCGTTCTCTTTGAACATGGTCGCGACCGTTCGATCGATTGCGTTCGTCGAAGAATTTCGAAAACAAGTCCCTTCGATTAGCGAGATGATCACTTTGTTTTTACCGTTCTAAAAGAATTCGCTCTTTCCCGCGACAATCGACGGAAACGTTGTATGCATGTCCTCCTTGTGTATGACACAAAAGCGTTACACCATACAGAGACCGTCCTCGTCTTATTCTCTCACACAATATCGAAAAATACATTCGTTTGAAAACACACGCATATATATATGCATCTGTGTATACGTATATATATATGTATGTATAATTCTTGTATATGTGCACTATGTATATAATTACATACATTTATAGGCTCGTCCAATATTTGGATACCGCACGTAGATCTAGCGTCTGACAAATTTCACGGTCCCACACTGTTGCCATCTCGATAAAGAGAAAAACGGCCGTTGACGCGCGTGGGTGTCCCGTCTCGGCTCTAGGTGCTAAATATCACCAAGCACCGGTAAGCATAAACACAAAATGTACACGGATCCATCCGTTTATACATATATGTATATGTACACACACGCGTTCGCATTGATCGTTAATAGTAAAAGTATAAAAAAAAGAAACGAAACAAAGAACGAAATGAGATAGAAGTCTGGGAGCGACAAAGGTTTGATTCGAAGGTACGTTATTTACAGATCGATGCGCGGACTCGGTATCGAGAGAAACGAGGAATCGAACAGGTAAGTAAATCTGATCGTAGCCACCAAAGGGGAAAGAACCGGAACGATAGAAAAAAAATTATTGCATTGCTCGATAACGACGCGCGCGTGGTGTGGAGATTAAATTGTTACGGATAAACTGGCGGTAGTGAAATTAGCCGGTTGCGCGACGAATTGTCAACCGGGAAGTAAGTTCGTGTACCGGGAAAATTTCGAGACTCGCGAACCTGAAGATCTTCCAAGTTTTCTCTATTTTCATAATTAGAATCGAACGTATCGAGTCCCGAAATTATTCGAATCGTTGCACGGTTCCAGTGTACGATTAAACCAGATAAAGCTCGATTTTCGACTAGCCGCTGCTACACGACTGCCCGAATTAACAAACGAACCCGCTAGTGACGATAATGGTGATAGTATCAACGAAATAACCTAAGAAAGTCTTATAGTGTTAAGTTAGTTATATCCTAGGTATCGCATCTTATCATCTAAATCATTGTTACGATAGCTTGGACAGTGTAGGGAGACCCATATTTTGACGTAAGGCATCCAAATACGCACCCAACAGTCGACTCGACCGATCCTCGCGTTTAACCAAGCGAATCAAGTAGCTCTTCCATTCGATGAATTATCTTCGACCGTTCCACGCGCCCCGTCAATAATTTTTTCTTGAATAGCACTAACAAAGACTATCACACCGAACGTCGACTTGTTTTACCCGATAGTAATGTATAAAATCTCTTCGATGAATTACTGCACGGTTTGTACATTACAAAATTTAGCGGACGAGAACGATTTGATTGGTACCCTAGGGTTTGTTCCAAACCTGAAAGTGGGTTAATCAGGAGACGCTGGTGACGCTGGTGTCGTAGTCACAGTTTGGTAACTGTGTAAAAATTTATTCCTTTCTATCTTTATAGGGTAATTCCTGTAGAGATGTTTATTGTTTTCTAGTTCTGAAAATATTTGACAGAGTACTTTATTGTCACTTTTGTGCATTCATTAAAATAATTAAAAGTTTCTTTTATATTTAACGTGTTCATTATCGGTATTTTTTATCAAAAGTAAGTGCGATTGTATGAATGAGATAAATATTTCCATATAGTTCTCAGAGAAATTTCAATAACTAAGATTTTCAAGTATTTTAGTGAAATATCTATAATATAACCTTAACTATATATTTATACTAATGAGAGTTAATTTTTTATTTCGTCACAGATAAATTGAATTAGGCATCTCTCTCATACGATTTGTAACCGTCTAAATTGCAATCAAGCAAGAAAAAAATTTTAAATTAAGAGAGATCAAAGCAACAATTTTTTACTAAGGAATCTCTTGTATCAGCTTAGGTACACCTAATAGTAATTATACAAATATCGATAACGACTGTGTTTAAAGTATCTCGATTCACTTTTCTTTTTTTTTAAATTAATTTAGAATTTAATATTTCTTTATATTTAGAATTATTTCTTTATTAAATTGTTAATACTTTATCTTACATGGTTTTTTATTTGCTTTCCTTTGGTATAACAGGTCAAGAAATCTGCAGTAATTTAAAAAAATTGTAAGCATCTCTCTCGGAATTGCCCTATGAGCGTCGACTCTGAAAAGGATATTTGGAACGGACAACCGTAATCACGCGGACGACGACGACGACGATTCACCGTAACACGATAACCAAGACTCTTTTTGGGCATGGTCATCGTGGATTCGAGCCACCTGATCGAACGTAAGTCCAGTAGACATCTTACTAGGTATCTAATACCTATCTAACTTATCTGACTGATCTAACTTATTCGAACGATAAGAAATCGCATATTCGTTATGCGCGACATTGGCCGATACCAAAATGCACGCGGATCCAATACTGCAACGTCGGTAGTAGTCGGTTTAGAAAATGTGCATAATCTATATACGGTGTTCTCCCGTTGCGAAGATCTATGTGAAAGACAAAATCGCGTGACGAATCGCGCAACAATTACCAGCAACACGCTTCCTACTACCAACTACCACCACACTTGGAACGTTCGCGCGATCATTGTCGTCGAAAGTCTTCCTGGTCTCCTCGCTTTCGATGCGTCACCGTTGCGTTTAACGCGACCGAAGGTTCTTTGGATCAGTTCGAGGATCGCAAAGACGGCCGTGCACGGTAGAAAGAGGAAAACAGTTCTTGGTTCGTCCACTCGAAAACCACGAAGAAACGACCATACGGTTTCCTCTCACGGGCCACTGACGGTTGCGTTCGCGGGGAGCGGATGTCCCGTGACCAAACTGTCGGCCGGTTTCCCAAGGCGGAATATCGACTGAAGGGAAGCTACTTCGGAGGCAAGGCGGTCCAGTCTCGACTTGACCTCCCTCTCGCTTTCAGGAACAGCGGACACGGTGGGGCCCGTCCATTCGGCGCCCAAGGAAATGCCGGAATCACGTTCGTCGCTGGAGCCCTCGTTGTCCCATGGCGGCGACGCTCTTGGCCCGGGTTCCTGTTTTATACCTTGGAGGGCCAGCAGCGCGCTGGCTGCATCCTTGTCGCCGATGCGCGACTTGTGCCTCAACTTGTGGGGCAAACTGTTGTTAGCTGCTGGATTCTGGGAACTGACCACCAACTGGGGACCCTCGTCGCCGCTCCCGGACGACAGTTCGAACGGCGACTGAGCGCGTCGTCCGCGGGACAGGTTCAACGCGCTCGTCGTGTCTAGATGCATCGCTGGATGAGGATAGGGATATTGGAAACTCTCCGTCTCGGGATAGGCGGTCGTCTCGGGCACGTAGAGCTGAGCGGGTGACCTGGGTGACCGAGCCCCGCTGACAGGCTGATGAATTACGGACGTATGCACTGGACTGGGTGTCCTGGCATAGAGGAGGGCCGTCGAGGCTGGGAGTTTTGCTCTCTTGACGCTAATGGGAGGTTCGGTGGGTAAGGCCGCGAGGACGTGTTCCGTGCTGATCACGGACTCGCCGCATATACCGAATTTGTCCCGTATCGCCTCGAGTTGCGCCTTCAAGATATGGTTCTCTTTGCTGAGCTCCATCACTCGCTGCTCGAGCACCATGTCATTGAAACGCCTCTTCTCGCGAGACCGCTTGGCAGCCTCGTTGTTGCGCCTCCTACGGTCCCAGTAGCTGTCGTCCTTCTTGTTGTCCGGGATGAACTCTCGTTGCTTGCGCTGAGAAAATAGCTCTTTTCTGATGTCGAAGTTCGGGGGGAAATTTTCAGGATGTATCACCTGTTGGGCATCGTGAAGGTGATGCTGCTGCTGCTGCTGCTGTTGTTGCTGCTGCTGCTGCTGCTGCTGCTGCTGTTGCTGCTGCTGTGCCTGCTGTTGCTGTTGTTGGTGATGGTGGTGGTGGTGTTGCGGCGGTTGCTGCTGCGGCGGCGGTTGCTGAGGCTGATGCTGGTGTTGCTGTTGTTGCATGGACGGCGGACCAGCATGGTGGGCCGGATGCGTCAACGGAGGCAACGGACCATGGGCATCGTGAGCGCCGTGACCACCGTGGCCGGTGTGCGCCATAGTGTGGGTGGCCGGCATGTTGCTGTTCAGACACGCGGTCTCACCATTAATGGGCGATCCACTCTGACGGGCGACAAATTCTGCCACCATAATTTGTCTTCTTAGTACATCTGCAAGCAAACGAAAACCAACGATCAGGAACGGTACACGGCAAGATTTTGTCACGGAATCGTAACAATTTGCATACAATTTTAGATCCGAGCCGATGGAAACAGACTAATCCGACGAAATTAATGGTATGGTATATTATCTCGACGACTCGAAACGTCGGATACCAAAGAGAACGATTCTCGAGTCAACGCGCGAGATGAGTTTATTAACGGCGGTGACGAATGCACGGCACAGCGTGCCAAACGATTACGATGACGGTGCCGAGGATCTTAGCGGCTCGTCGAGACAGTCACGCATGACAAGAATAGGCTATTTTATAAGTGTCGTTTGCATTAATAACCGTTTGTTTCGAACGATTGTGTACATTCGAATTGAACTCTCCGAGAATCGACAAGTAGTATAAAGTAAAGGATCCAATACGAAATGCTATAAAATTTTTGATTTATATGAGTCAAATTTTATTGAACAATTTTCTAATTATGCTATAAACTATGCTTATATTATTTTTTTTTAAATAAAGGGGCCTTTAACTTGGACAACTATTAGAATGACTTCTTAAAAAATATTTTTTGAAATAATTCAGGAACCGAGTAAAATTATTCTGTAACGAATATTAGAGATAGTAATCAATATTATATACACTAGTGTCCACACGTATTGGCTCTTTTACTTTATTTTTTATTTCGCGGAATAGAAAAATTGTATAACCCTGTGGCGTGTCGTCTGTTGCAGAGGCAAGGTCCTTTCAACTTTTAAAAGGAACATTTATTAATCCAAAGTCGCGCCAAGTACGTTCCGGTGAACTCATTTGCGATACTGGCCACGAACGAAACGCAATCCTTGTACGGCGGTGTCACGCGACAGTCGAGTGACGAAGTATTACAAAAGAAGGTCGCGCGATACGGAATCAGGAAGAAGGTAAAGAATCTCGAGAGGCAGAGAGACTTGTACGGTAGCTGACCTCCTCAACTACTTTATCTTACGCCGCGTTCGTTGTCTGCAATTACACAGTGTTTCGGATTATGATCTACATCGATCACCCGGCATGACTTCCTGAATTCGAACCAGAAGACTAATTCGATTGCGGCCGTAACTGTCGGCATGAGTCAATGTAATAGTTTCTTTCTCATGACGCAACACGTAATAATTATGATATACCCTCTCCCCCACCTCTTCGTCCGTAAACTCTAATCAAACCATCGTAGAGAATTCGATGACGCATACTTATGAAAACCTTGAGTCATACCTGATACCACACCGAACAATACTGGAACGACAATTGAACATTCCAGGAACAATTATTCACCCACCGAGCTAACTATTCGCATTATGCATAATGTAAACGAGAAAACGCGATACAGAAGAAACAGAAATTAATTGATTACTGGTCAGGAATTTAACTTTGAACCCAGTATTTGATATATGTAGTTATTCTATATCTAGGAGAATCATACATTCCTATACATGTGTATATACATACATTCTTTAACCGACCAAATTTCAAAGTTGTTTCAAAACCCAAAGAAAAGAGGAAAAAGAAAAGTCAGCGAGGAGTAGCATATCGTCACGCGTCGTTAAGTGTCTGTTCAAGGTGCACGTTGTATATCAGAAGTCAATTTGTATTCTCCGAGTGCGTGCGCCCAAACATCATCGACTTAACGCTATGTTTGCACGGTAAACGCGTTAACTCGTTTATACGATGATTTCCAATGCCGGCGGCGTCTCATGGGTATACCGCGTATTTTGTTGAACGTTCGAGGACGATCTTCGCCATCGCCGTGTGCGTGGGCACGATGACAGATCATATCCAAGAGGGAGAGAGTCTCGTAAATTTTCGTAACCGTTATATGCGAGAGTAGCACCCGACGGCCAAAGGTGAAGAATTCCGAGAGATCGAAAGACGTGCCCGCACTGCCAACAATACCGACTCGAGCAACAGCAAGAGAAGTCGCAAAATAGCCTTGGGTAAGGTCGCGCTCCTTAAGGTCGAAAGTGTCGGCGAACTCGACGACTGACCGTTGCCAGTCGAAACGTTACCCTTTCGTCGAGAATGATGTTCAATGTCTGACTAATATGTATTGTAACAGATATAGTTGAACGGTAAAAGCAATTGGAAACATGTGTATTTATTTTCATTGACTAAACGCGTTGAGCAGACCTAATTCATTTCTAGGAAAATTCTAGTATTTGTTCGTACAGAAAATATTTGTTTGTATTTTCTTTTATTTCGAAAATAGGTCGAACGGAAAAATATATCGATGTTTTGTCGATTCCGGAATCGTGAGACGCTAACGCCATCTTTGACTCCGGTGGTACGCGAAAAATAATCAATCAGCAAGTGTCGTTACGGACGCGAAGACTGTTAAATAACTCGTTCTTGCATTTGCTCGTCGGAAGAACGTTAATCCGAGCGCGAGGTGCAGTTATATAAGAATGCACGTGTGTTTCCACAGAGTGTGCCACGTGCTGCATCGTTGTTATTTGCCGTTTACGAACCGCATCATGAAAATATTTGTTTATTCAACCGTCAGCATTTATAGCAGAAAAATGTCGAATGCATATGTGCGTTGTATATAATCGTAAGTGATATCTTATTCTTTGAACAATTATAGGTAATTGAGACGCGGACATATTTCATTCGATACGAAACGAGTCGATCAATTTATTTTCGAAGAAACGAAAAAGTTTCGATCTGCTGGTAGTGCCACCTGTGGCGTACGTATCAAAAGTGCGTTTGCTCGTCCATGCGTGAAAAGTTCGGAAAACAATTATTTTTGCTTCTTTTGAAAAGTAATATCCTTTAAATTTATTGTCCCATTGTGGACCTTTGTTGCATTTCGTGCGTCACAGGGTGGTTGATTTGAAATAGTTTAGAAAACGTAAGTTCGATTTCTTCTGTCGCAACGAAAGGCGCGAGTCGAGCAGTCGGGGTATCGAACCTGAACGCCAAGGAGCGAGGGAGAAGTCCGAAAGAGTAAACTCGTGAATTAACCGTTGAAGCACGCGGGACGAGAGTTACGTAAGGGTGTCGTTGCATCATGCGCGCGTGCGTTTCTACGTCCACGTGCTACACGCGCTTGTGGAAGCGAATGTCAGCCGTTTCAGTAAATACGCTGCAGTACGCGAATCTCTTTCAATGACGTACGTTTTGATCGTGCAACGTGCGATCGCGACCTCGCGAATCCAACTTTTACGATGAATCGAGGCTTTAGCGCGTCCTTCCGACTATCGATTATGTATCTTGCACCTTAAATTATCTCTGAGAAAGGTGCGTCACTGCTAGTCGGAAACGGATTTACACGATGTTTCTAGGAAATGCAATTATACTGATAATGTTTCGAGCTATGGAAACGCGTGCATAGTTTTTGTGTCAACATTGTAGCAACCTTTCTATACGGCTCGGTAGAGGGCAGCAGGATACCGTACAAAATGTCGTCTTAGAGATTCTGCCGAACGCATCTTTATCTCGTAAACGTCGCGTTGGAAAATGAAAGAGGAACGATAGAGTTTCGAGTTGAGCCAACAAGTTTTCAATTCGTTTCAACGATACGAGGCGTACACAGTCGAGACAGTAAGCCTGCTCTCGAAATTGAGCAATCGCGTGGAATTTCAGTCGCGGGTTACGTACAGGACTCGACATGACTCATATCGCCGTACCGAGTGTTCTATCGATCGAAAGATTTTTGTCGGAACAGAAAATGTCGCCCACGCGAAATTTCTGCCGTAACAAAATAATGCACGCGAACGGTGCACGTTAGCCTACGCTTAATTTTACCAAGGTAGGTACATATTATGCAACGCGATCGATCGACTTTTTCTCGTGACAAGGATCGCGCGTCATCCGTGTCAATACTGTTTCGTTTCGTTGCAGATTTGACAGGAAATCGTCGTTCCTTCTCGATCGAGGGCAATCAACCGTCTCCCCCCTTTTCTGTTGTACTTGGAGGAAAGGAATCGGCCGGCTTAGCTACACGACGCGTTCTTGGTGAGTCATATTTAGCCATTACGCGTTTCTTTGCCTGTATATTACCGTCTAGCAACGTGTGCGCGCGCACACGATGCGCCGGTGTATGTAAATGAGCATACCAGGAACGTAAAGACGGAGGAGGTGTTGGGCTTTTTCTCGCGAAACGCGAAAATTAATCAGGAAGTTTTACGGTCCATCGTGAACGGTGCAACGGTTCTGTCGTTAGAGGATAATAGATGGCGGGACGGTGCGTATAACGCGAAATTAACGAACGGTCGAGAACGTACACTGTCGGAATAATTTTGCAACTTTAATGGGCTACGGTTTCCTCGAATGATCGATAAAAATGGTCATGTCGAGCGCAGCGAGAAAATGGTAATTATACAGACGGTAAAGTGGCGAAACTCGCGTTTCGTTGCGCAAACCGGCATATGCGAAGATCGTATCGACACACAACCAACGATCGTGTGTAGCTTTCGTTTCGTGTCTCGGGGTCGATATTTCTCCATGGAGATAATAATAGCGGACCCTTGGCGCGCGCGTCACGCACACACGAAATAATTACGTAGCATTGGGCAAGCGTTGGAATTGATCCGGTCGTTACGTGCGTTACGTCCAACGCATCTTCGTCCCTCCCTTCGTTCGTTCCTGCTACGATTATCGCAATGCGTGAGACGTTTTACATGAAACGTCTCGAAAATAGGTTTTTCGAAGAGAGTCGGTCGCTTCCACGATCGACCGTTAGAATTCGAACGATGCGATCGGTAAACCGTGTATACAGTGTTCGGACACACCTCGGAAAAATTTTAATGGGAGATTCTAAAGGACAAAATAAGACGAAAATCAAGAATAGTAATTTGTTGATGGAGGCTTCGTTAAAAAGTTATTAACGTTTAAAGTTCCGCCCGTACTGAATTTTTTTCTAGAAAATGGGTAGGATTTCGGGGGTATGTCTATTCACCAAAAATGATTGTAATTGAGCCCCGCAACCGAAAATAATTTTTTCAGAATGATTTGAAATCTTTTAATTTA